ACAGTGAAGATGCTGTTGGGACAAATGGCCATTGTAAGGGCAGCTTTGCCAGGTCCTGGGACAGGAGGAGACAGGATCACAGAATGAAAGAGTAAAATTTTCTGGGTGTAGGGTAGGAGGAGATGTGAATTCTGGAGATGAAGATTTCTGGAGACTGGGCAGAGGGGGAAGGATTCTTAGAGAATTAGGGATGCCACACACGCCCCCAGGGTAAGACTGGAACTAGGCTCCTAGGTGGCCAGGCAAGGGAAGCAGCAGCAAGAGACAGACAGAGCCTGGCCCCAGGGCCTTCACTAGCCTGTAAGCAGGACAGGCCTGGGGGCCAGGCGGGAACTAGGACTGGGATTCTTGATGGGAAAGCAAGTGACCAGGGAGGTGGGGCCRGGGCCTGCATGCTCCTGAGATTTGGGAGGTGAGTGTCATCTGCCGTTCTGTGCCCACACCAGTGGGGGTTTCCTGTTGTCACGGGTGGGCCTGGTTGAGCCAAGCCTTGTTGCAGAAATCCTCATCACTGCTGGTGGTGAAAACGTGGCCCCCGTGCCCATCGAGAACCTGGTGAGGGAGAGGATCCCCATCGTCAGTAATGCCATGCTGGTGGGCGACAGAGCCAAGTTTCTGAGCATACTGCTGACGCTGAAGGTGAGGTGGGCCCCTGCTGTCCCCCGGGGCCTCCACAGCCAGCCCAGGCCGGCCCCAGGGCCAGGAGCTGGCCTGCAGGTTCAAAATCACTTCTTGGTCTTCAGGGMCTGGGTTGGGTGGGGCTGGCCAAGGAACGTGTGTGGTGACAGGGCTGTCCKGGGGCAGTGTGAGACGGATCAGGCGAGCGGAGCGCCCCTGAACAAGCTGAGCTCGGAGGCCATCAACTTCTGCCGGAGCCTGGGCAGCCAGGCAGACACGGTGACGGAGATCGTGAGGCAGCAAGACCCACTCATCTACGAGGCCATCCAGCAAGGCATCGACGCGGTGAACCTGGAAGCCAGCAGCGAGGCACAGCGGATCCACAAGTGGGTCATCTTGGAGAAGGACTTCTCCATCCAAGGCGGGGAGCTCGGTGAGCGGGCTGGRCAGCTGACGATGCCGACCTCAGGGGCTGGTCCCTTGCCGGCATCTGGGCCATGTGGCCTCTTGGGGGTCAGAGGGCTTGTGGGTCTTGGCCAGGGGACTCTGTCTCCTGGTCAGGCTGCAAGGATGGACTTTCCTTTCCTCCATGACTCAATCGATTTCTCCATTCTCAACAGGTCCAACAACAAAAATGAAGAGGCCATTCATAGCCCAGAAATACAAAACCCAGATCGAGAACTTCTACCAGTGACTGCCCAGGCAGAGCCTGGGCTGCCCCAGTGGTGAGGTCCAGTTGCTTGGCTTTGCTGGGCTCTGCTGATGGGCAGGAGTGGGTAGAGTCTCRGCCTGGGGCGAGTCACGGTGGGTTCTGGGGAGCGTCTGGCCTCACTCCTGCTCCCCTCCCCGGGGCGTGGCCTCCTTCAGAGCTGGTCTGTGAGTGGACAGCCGCACTCTGCCTCTTCTGCTTCCTGCAGGGAGGAAGGGTGTGACCCTCGGCTCAGGATGGCATTTTCCTGCAGCCTCCACGTCTCACTGGCTTGTCTGGAGAGGGCCTCTGGGCAGAAACCTTGGTGGCAGTTTCACCTGCCAGGAACCCAAAGAATGAGCAGGGCCTCCCTTCTCCCCTCTCCCCAGGTCATGTCCGGGGCCTCCACTCCACCTGTCTCCAGTGGGGATTCTGGGCAGTGCCAGCAGAGAATGTGCCTTCAGCTGTCCCCAGGCCACGGGACCCTTGTGTGGGCAGACCTGTTCTCTGCTGATGCCCCACACAGCCCACTGGTAGGAGTCTGCTTGGGCTGCCATAATAAAAGAGCACAGGCCTGGGCCTCAGGGAGCAGGAACTTACTGTCTCAAAGTTCTGGAGGCTAAAAGAGATCAAAGTACCAGCGGGGTGGTCCTGTCAGAGGACACAGGGGACTGTCCAGCCTGGCTCCCTAGCATGCAGAGGGCTGCCTTCTCCCCTACCTCGTGTCTTCCCTCCATGCATCTGTGTCTGAGTCTCTTCTTAAGGACACCAGTCGTGACTGGACACAGTTATGCTGGGCTGGGGCCCACCCCAGGACCCTTCTTAACTTCTCTACCTCCCATCTCTGAACGAGGGAGAGTCTGAGGTGCTGGGGGGTGGGAACTTCAACAGGTGAGCCAGGGTGAGCACCTGCCTCAGCACCCCCCGTGTTGGTGTGTCCCTCTGGCCCCCGGGGTCCTGTGGGGGCTGGTTGCCCACACCTCCGTACCCCGGCCTTCATGARACTTCCGGTTGCACTCTGCAGGTGAGAAGCTATAGTGGGTGGGCCCCCCMCACACACACCAGTGCTGCCCAGCATGGCAGCCCCTGGCCCCAGGGTGGCCCACCTGCATTGGGATGTGCAAGACACATGACTTTGAGGCTGGGAAGGAAGAAATATAAACACCTCATTAATATTTTAAGATCCTGATGACATGTTGTGATACTTGGAGCATAGCGGGTACATAAAACATAGCATTAYGTTAATTTTCATCGTCCTTTCCTAAGTGGCTACTGGAAAATTCTAGATGGCACAGGGGGGTTTCTCTGGGACAGGCCCACTCAGGGTTTGGTAGCTTGGGGTCTGGAGGACGACTGCCCATCACCAGGACCCTGTGTGACGACTCGTGTCCCCCAACACTAAGACTTACAGCCACGGGGGCCTCCTGCTCTAGGCAGGGGCTCTTCCTCCTGTTCTAAGCCGCGTTCCATCAGAGGTGGACCCTCCACACCTYTCCAAGCCCTGAGATGGCGGTAGTCTGTGAGCGTTTCGAGTGCCATCCAGGGAAGCTTCCCGGGAGGTCTACAGGAACTGCCTGTGGAGGAAGTGTGCCCTGGGGCTCCCCTTGGATTTCTCTTCTCCCCAGAGGACTCAATGAAACACTGGAAAGGAAGAAACCTTCACGCGTTTGAAGAACTGGACCCCAACCACCCACCTGCCCAGAAGCACCTGGGAAGCCCTTCCWGTAAGTTCTGATGACAAGGTGCTCTGTGTCTCATCCTGACGTGGGGATGGTGGGCCTCCAGAGGCAGTGGGCAGCTGTATGCAGTTCAGACTTCTGAGGTCTTGCATCCCACAGGCTGGCTGTGGAAGTTCTCGAGATCATGTCCAGGGATCACACGACTGGCTGAAGCCCTTCCAGTTAGGGGCGGGTCACTGCCATCAGGTGTTAGGGAAGAGGAATGACCCTTGACTGACCCGTCCTTAGGAGTGAGTTTTGCTGTTGTAATAAAGTGCAAAATGACCACAACTTGGATGTCTGTGCCTGTCTCATCTAGGAGTCCACTGTGAGCAGACCACGGCGCTGATCGGTTTCCCTCACTGTTACCAGCAGCCTCGGTTAAACCCATTAGAGAGGAAAGGCTCCCAGTCCAGGAGTCTGCAGCCCACGATGGCCTGGCCCTGGCTGTGTGAGCAGCACGTCATGGCAGGAGCACCACAGCAGAGCCGCTCCCCTCAGGCAGCCAGGGACCAGAGGCAGGAAGAGGGGGACAGCACGTCCCAGTGAGCTGACTTCTCCCACCCAGCCACGCCTCTCCATGGCACCACCCTGGGGACCCACTCCTTTAACACACGGGCCTCAGGCACATTTAAGATCTAAACTCTTTCAAAAGCCAACGAGAAAGTAGAAGGAGTGTTAAAGTCAGGACAGAGTGGCTGCCAATCGTCAGGGGTGTGAAGGCCAGTGGTGGGGGGCGGGGGCCGTGAGAAAGGCTGTTGGTGTGGAAGGTGGAGGTGACCATTCCATCACCAGGGAGGGGCAGGTCACCACCTTGTGCCTCAGTCATTTCTTTTCCTGCAGAAGGTGGGCGGGGGGGGGGGATTTGAGAGAAAAGATGTAGCCATGAGGTGGCACCCGCACACAGAGTGGTGCTGGGAGGGACTTCCAGCTGCTGCCACTCAGAGGGAAAGTGGGCTAGGGTCCCAGGGCAGGAGGGAAGAGGGGCAGGGATGTCAGGGTGGGGTCTCCCTCCAGGGGAGTTCCATCTGGCCTGCACAGTAGGCGGGCTCCAGCTGGTCCGGATCTGATCGGGCTGATCTCCGTAAGACAATCCAGGGACGGGAGACTGGGGAAAGGAGAGGAACTGACACCTGCCCCGAGTGCAGGAGGCGGACCTSCTGGACCACGGGCAGAGGGAGAGGCGAACGGGGGCATGCTCTGAACTCGGGCTGGCTCCCTGGTTTGGGTGGCTACATGCTGTAAGGAAGAAAGTGTCCCTATTTGGGGAAACTACATGCTGCAATGCACAGGGAAGAGGGGTGCAGTGGAGGGAAAGGGAGAGAGTGAAGGGGTGGGGAGAAGTAGAGAGAGATACCAGCTTTCCATTACTGTAAAAACAAGAACTAAAAAGGCTGCTTTGGGCTCCAGTCTTGGAGGTTTCAGTCCTGACTGTCCTGCTGCTCTGGACCATGGCAGAGCCCGTGGCGGAGCATGGCTGCTCACCTCATGGCCAGGAGCAGAAGTGCAGGGAAGGGTCCTGCTCTTTCTGTGGAGGACAGGAAGTCCTCCCACCTGGCCTCACCTCTTAAAGGCTCCAGCCTCCCCCCAAGTGCGATCCAGGACTAAACCTTTAGCACATGGGCCTTTGGGGAAACTCTGCTAACCCTCAGCAGCACCAGAGGCAGGGAATGGCGTCACATGTTAACAAGTGGTGAATCTTGGCAAAGAGGATGTGGGAGATCTTTTCATTGCTTTGGAAAGTGCTAAGAGCCACATCCAAGTAATAYGATGCATGGCACTTTTGGTGGAAAGGTGACGCCAGCTAGCCATTGAGATGATATGATTATGTTAAGATTTGCATTCATATGGATATTGGACTCCTGCTGTTCACCTGGGCCTGCTATGGGACTCCTGGAGAGTTCCCATTGGTTGGGGAAGTACAGTAGGAGGGAATTCCAGGGGAGGAACTTCCTCTGGGGTTCTGGGAGAACGCCATGTGGGTGGATCGGCAATCTTCCCGGGCAYGTACGTGGCATTGGCGGCAGTTTCAAAAAATAAAGTCTGTTCCTGCTTGAGTGGCTGGTGATTTTGTCTCCAGCCAGACTGCGGCAGGCAAGTTTTCTGTAACTTTGAAAATACTTCAATACATGACTTGGAGATACATTTTAAAAACCTCTGGCTGATTTCTAGTCCCCTTCCTTCTGTGAGCAGGCATGCCATGGACATCTTTCTCTGAGGACAACTGCCCCATTCTTCCCAGCCCCTGCATTTCTTCCTGTCTGTCCCCTATCGCGGGACACTGGGCTGCTGTCACTCCCCCACACTGCAGTGAGCAGCCGTGCATGTCTCCCCGTGCACAGAGCACACCTATCCCTTCAGAGTGCTCCTCTACTGCACCAAATACCCTCCTGACGTCTTGCGCAGYGGCATTCACGAAGGCCAGGGTGGGCCAGTCTGTAGACACCCCCCACTGCTCGAGCAATCTCAGGAGCCTCATCTCTAAGCATCAACAGTATCATCCTTGGAAAAAAGGAGGACAGTAAAACACGACATTCCTGAAACGCCCCTCTCCATTCCCCAGAAACCTGGCCAAGTGAGGAGAAACAAGAGCCAGCCTGCTCGGGCGTGTCCAGACACGGTCCCTCCCAGGAATCAGGTGAACCAGGGCTGCCTGGAGAAAGCGGCTCTCTTGCCACAGTCCTTGGAGCGCTGGTCCTACAGGGACAAACCAAGCTGGGCTGGGGTGTCACTGCTTCTGTAGCCTGACTCATTAACCCCTCTCCCTGGGGCAGCTGGGCAGGATACAATGCTGTGGACAGGGCGTGCCCATGCAGCTGGCCCCAGMCAGCCACGTGGGATGGCAAAGCAAGCACCAGAGGCACCGTGGGAAACAGGAGCCCTGTCCAGCCATCGCCACTGGACCTTCTGCAAAGCACCTGTCCAGCCCGTCACCATCAGACCTTCCCCAGAAACATTTTTCTGTAAACCTTCCATCTCACAATCCATCTCCAGGTGACATTTTTGCTGTCACAGCAACTACTCTACAGATGTGGACAGTACCACATGCCCATCTTCACACACTGGCCTGATTTACCCTTGCCTCTCCCTCCCTGGCGTGGCACCTTCAGAATTCAACCCCACATGTGTCCCCACACAGGCCAGCCAAACCCTGTTGGCCATTCRCCAGTCTTCACCAAGTTTTGACTGTGTGACCAGCCTCAGGGACATCCTGAGGTCTGACTCCATTGACACGCGCAGGCCATGAGGCGGTGAGGGGGCGGGGCAGGGAGACTGGCGAAYGCTGCCAATGTCAGGGCCCCTGGGGGCATCACAGGTATTTCAGCAAAGTGAGGCTGGCCTGGGCCGGGAGGAAGGTCTGCTTTTGGTAGCACGGGCAGCTGGTGGGATCTGGGAGCCCAGGACACAGTCATCAGAATCCTCCCAAATCACACTGTTCCAGTTCTTAGGGTACTGTGTTTTCTCAAATAATGCCCCCTCACATGAAACGCTTGCAAGGCTGTCAATCTACTCCATGTGACACTTCAGAATCTGCAGCTGTGAGGGGTGCTCAAGGCACCCATAGGAGACCCTCTGAGCAAGCCTAGAGGTRAGACCTGAACCTAGAGCTGTGACTGCTAAGGTCAACCTGTGTGGTCATAAACAGAACCCACAACTGCTGGTGGCCAGCTATTCCTGTCCCTCAGCCCAGATCCTTGCCTTGGATACAGGAGCAAGGGTGGCACAAAATTCAACAACCCACTATGAAGTGTAGACTTGTAGACCAATAAAACCAGAGTTCAGAAATGAAACACCACTTTTAGGACCAACTGTTTTTTTTTTATACTTATTTCTTAGTTTTCGGCAGACACAACATCTTTCATTTTTATTTTTATGTGGTGCTGAGGATCGAACCCAGTGCCCCGCACATGCCAGGCAAGCGCGCTACTGCTTGAGCCACATCCCCAGCCCCTGACCAACTGATTTTTGATAAAGGTGCCAAGGCAGTTCAACAGTTCAATGGGGGAAGGATGGACCCTTCAACTAATGGTGCTGGAATAATATGTCCATAAGGGGGAGAAAAAAGAATTTAGGCCTTTACCCCACACCATACACAACCTGAGATACATTATAAACCTCAATGCAGAAGCTGAAATTATAAAACTTCCAGGAAAAAGTTATAGAAAATCTTGATGCCCTTGGATCAAGTGGAGATTTCTTAGACATGATGCCAACACACAAATTATGAATTAAAAGAACTGACAGAACTAGGCTGTACCAACATCAAAGTCTCTTGCCCCTGAAAAGATCCTGACAAGAAAACATCAACTTGTGGGCTGGGGCTAGGGCTCAGTGGTAGGGTGCTCATGTAGCATGAGTGAGGCACTGGGTTCCATCCTCAGCACCACATAAAAATAAAAGATAAAGGTATCATGTCCACCTACAACAAAATATATATAATATATCAATTTGGAAAAGGATATCCTGAAGTATTAAAAGAGCCAGGCAAATGTTAACAAAAACTTGCTGCCTGAATATATAATGAACTCTTACCACTCAATAATGAAAAGAACTGCATCTCACTGGAAAAAAATGAGGATGATGTGTTTTCCATCATCCTCATTTTTTTTCCAGTGAGATGCAGTTCTCTGGTCTTTGCAACTGCTTTGAACGTTTTTAGTTGGATCCAAATATATCCATGATTCAAACTTGTTTGGTTTCTACAGCCAACAGTTTGCCATATAGATACTTTACAAAGTAGCATGAACCAGGAACCTGGTGCACCTGAACTTAAAGGGAGGAAATCGTAAATGGGGGGAAGTAATGTGCAACTACACCTGAAAGTCACTTCAGTATAACACTGTCATTATAATGATCTTGTTTAAAAAGACAAATGACTCTATTTAAAGACGGACAAAGGATTTGAATGTGTTTCTATAAAAAGATAATACAACTGGCCAGTAAATACATGAGAAAATGCTGGACATCCTTAGCCACTGAGACTACTTCACTGCTCTAGTCATTTTTTTTTGGGGGGGGGTGTTTGAACCCAGGGGCACTTAACCTCTGAGCCACAGTCCCAGCCCTGCCTTTTATATTTAGAGACAGTCTCACTAAGTTGCTGAGGCTGGCCTTGAACTTACAATCCTCCTCTGTCTGCCTCAGCTTCCTAAGCAGCTGGGATTTCAGGTGTGGCTACTGTGCCCAATTACCTTTGCTAAAATTGATGGCTGAAGGCAAGTCAAGGAGGTGGAGGAATGGGGACTCTCTCACATGCTGTGGGAATGCAAAGTGGCCCAGCCCTTTGGAAGTTTATTGAAATGTTAAAAAATGGAGGTACTACATGGCCCAGCAATTCAGCTCCTGGCTACAAAAACCAAACAAAAACAACTCTGTACCCAGTGGCAGTTGGACATGGGAGGGAAGCACCTGGTGAGCCGGGAAGCCAGCGAAGGGAGGGGCTACTTTCACAGCTCAGGAAGACCTGTCTCAGGGTTCACCAGCCTCACCTGGATGTCCTGAGGACACGCCCCCAGTGACCAGACCACCTCCTACTAGGTGCTGCCTCTTAGAGCTTCCCTCACTGGGGACCAAGCTGCCACACAGGGACCCTTGGGGTACACGCTTCTGAACCATGGTGGCAGGACTGGATGCTCTGGCCACAGGAACCCCAGTTCCCAGTCCAGGAGGCCCCGTAATCTCAAGTTGACCACATGATCCTGGGCAGTCAAGAAAAGGGCTGTGTCCAAGAGCTGCTGGCTCAGCAACCTACTAGCCAATGCAGAAAGCTGATGTGGCCGCTGCTGGCCCCAGAACCACACTGTTTCTGACAGGGTCCACCCTGGCTCTGCCCCTCACACGACTCACACCCAAATCAGTCATGACCAGTGGAATCTGACCATGTCCAGAACCTTCCCTGCGTGAAGTTCTGGAGAAGGAGATTTTAGCTTCCAGCCTCTGCTGTGGGAATGGGGCTAGGTTTCGTCTTCCTCCAGGACATACTTCACATTCCCYGAACCTGTACTTCTTACTGTTCACTGAACTACATCCAATACATCATCTTCTGTGTCTGGCTTCTTCCGCTGCGTGACTCCATCTGCAAGGTACCAGCAGCTCCTTCCTTTTTTGTGGTACCAGGGATTGAACTCAGGGGCACTTGACCATGGAGCCACAGACCCAACTCTATTTTGTATTTTATTTAAAAACAGGGTCTCACTGAGTTACTTAATGCCTTGCTGTTGTAAGGCTGGCTTTGAACTCGAAATCCTCCTGCCTCAGCCTCCTGAGCTGCTGAGATTACAGACATGTGCCACGGTGTCCGGCATCTCTTTCCTTCTTAATGGCTGAGTAGTGGTCCCTTGTTGATCTGTACCACCTGTGTCCATATGCACATCTTCTTTGGAGAAATGTTTGCTCAAATTCCTTGTCCATTTAAAAACTGGGCCATTTTTAATTTTTTGAGTTGTAAGGGTTCCTTATGCATTGTAACAAAATCCCTTGTGCTTCTTCAGTTGCTAGTTTTATAATATAGTTTGATTTGGGTTAAGATAAGGCCTTTTGCTTAAATCTTTTTTTTTTTTGTAACTTACTATGCAAACTTTGAAACCAACTTGTCAAGTTTCATAAAAATTCTTGAATTCTTGGACTGGGGCTGTAGCTCAGTGGTAAAGCACTTGACTCACATGTGTGAGGCACTGGGTTCAAACATCAGCACCACATAAAAATAAAGATACTGTGTGTTCATCTACAACTAAAAATTTTTTTAAAAAAAATTCTTGAATTCTTTACTGACAATGTATTTGGGGGGCAYTAGGAATGTAGAGGTGGTGTGCTTTCCTAGCATGCACAGGCCCTGGGTTTGATCCCCAGCACTGCCARAAACAAAACAAAAAAGCCATATTTATTGATTGATCTAAAGAATATTGAGTTTTTCCATTTGTTACATTCATTTATATGGTATCTTTTCCAAACTTTTAGCATTTTTTTAACAAAAATTTGTTACTTAGAAAAGTTTAAACAAAAAAACATAAATTAAATGTGTGCATAATTCTTATGCACACCATTTGTTTTGTTGTGATTATCTAAACATGTAATCAAATGCCTTGTGAGTAAAAACAATTTCTTGCAACTTCATTCCTAATACACAGGCAAATAAAACTTTTAGCATTTTATCCCATCTAAACTGTACAATTTTTGGTCAACTTAATTCTGGCTACTGTTTGTCTGTTACAGCTGAGGCTTTCCTTCTTTTGGAGATTCCTGGGTGGTTGTGCTGGCACACAAGAAAGCTGCTAGTACTTCTGTGATTAGGCCTGTAGCACGCGCTGATCTACTTCTCAAAATGCAGAGGCTTTTACAAAGATGAGCATTTCCGCAAACAATTTTTGCTTCCTTTTCAATCTTGATTCCTCAAGAAAATACAAATGGCCAATTACATTGTCGAGGGGGAAAAAAAAAGGTCCACATCAGTAAAGGGATCCACACGTTTCCTGCAACAACTCTTACTGTGGCCTCGTTCATTTCACGGCTRTTCTTTGAGAAATGACAAGAAGCCACTTATTTCAGAAAGGCCTTTTGAATTTATTTTTTAATTGTAAAATATATGTAAAATTCTTTTTATGTATTTTTATCATTTATGTATTTTTATCATTATTTTGTATCATTTTAACCATTTTTTAAGTGTTCAGTTCAGTGGTACTAAATATACTCTCCTGGTTGTGCAGCCATCCTCACCACCCATCTCCAGAACTTTCTCATCTTTCCAAACTAACTCTGCCCCACTCAACACTGACCCCACTGACAACACTTCTCCTGGCCTGGCATCCACCATGCCGCTTTCTTTCTTTGGAAACAGGCCACYTTAAACTTCCTAAGTGGGGTCAAAGTCTCTCTCTTTTTGTGACTGGCTTACTTTGCTCCACCATGTCCTCAAGGTCAGCCACGCTGCAGCAGATGTCAGAATGTCCTTCCTGTCCTAACACAGCTCACTCATCTCTCCCTGTAGCAGTGGCCACCAGCCACCACCCTCCAAGCCTCTGCTCTTGGTTCTCCTGGCCACACCCCCGCGGTGGAACTGCAGGATAAGATGGCCATCCTCTGCGAAGAACCAGGCAGGCTTTTAAGTGACTTCTCAGTTTCCCAGGCTCAWCCACCTCCACCAATATTTGCAAACTAACTGAACACACTTTAGGAGCCTGTTATTCTAAGTACAGACCCCACCTGGTGGACAAACTAGTTCAGGGGCTCCAAGCCCTTGTCAGGCTGGGCCTCATAGGGGCCAGGGCTCTCTGCTTGGCCTCTGGAATGCCACACCTCCCTCATTGGCTTCCTCCTTTCATTCCTCCCCAGGCTCCTTGGGAACCTTTTCACTCAAACAGTGAACAGCAGCGACTCCAGTCCCTCCAGCTGCCAGACCTAAGCCCAAGACCCTGGCCCCAGCTCCTCCCTGGGCACCATCCCCTTAGGAACCTTTGCCTAGGGGTCATGGTAGAAGTCCTCTTACAGTGAACCTCTCTTTGTCCTCCAAGACTAGTCTCTGTAAAGGGACAGTGATCCAGGTTGCCATCATGGCCTTGGGCCATGGAACCAAGTGATGTCACAAGGGTTGGCCATCAATAGCAAYGTTCTAGACATCCAGTCTGGACAATGCTTGTCCTCCTGTGGCTAGAGTCGGGAGGGTGACAAAGCTGACAAAAAGAAGCTGGATACAGGAGTAAGCACGACCCTGCCAATGGCMGAGAGGGGTGAAAATGTGTTGTGGGTGGAAGCAGGGCTTGGGGGCCATGTGGATCCCCGCTGCTCCCGGGATGGCCCAGGCAGCCCAGTGAGTGGGGGGTGRTCACAGAACTAGAAAACGGCTTTTCACTAAGGTGAGCCCCCTTCTCCCCCCATGCCGGCACCAAGGACCTTCATGAGGCGCCCCCTCTTCTAAAGGCTCCGCTGCAGCTTTCCTGGGCCAGCTCCCACCACTCCGGAGGGAAGCCTTCCAGGGCCACCCCGTGACCAGGTGAGAGCTGGCCTCCGGGCGGGCCCTGTGAATGCCTGTGTGTGTGTCTGCCCAGGCGCAGCAGCCAAGACGCCCCCTGAGACCCTGGGAAGGGAGACAAAGGCGCTCTGCACACCATGTCCTCCCGCAAGAGTGACAGGGCAGCACAGAAGCACCCTCTCCACCCAGAAAGTAAAAACAAAGGTTGGGCTCGGAACCCGCGAGGGGAGGCCTTCGCAGCGCTGCCCTGGGGTGGCTGACTGTGCCTCCTAGAAGGCTGTCCCGGAGGGGAAGYGTGGCAGTCCCGCCTCCTGGAGCCCAAGGGAGGGCCTACGGCCTCAGGCGGCTTCCCCCTGGGCTCCGCCCTTGGGCCAGCGCGTCTGCCCACCCCGCCGCCCTGCCCTCTCCTGYCCTGCCCTCTCCTGCGTCCCCGTGCACCACTGCCTTTCCTGTCCAGGCTCCATCGGCTGCCCACCCCTCCCTCCGACCCGCGATCCCTGCTCGCCACTGGGGGACCCCTGGACACACCCTGGCCCTCCCGCAGGCCACAACTACTGGACCTCGGAGCGCCACGGCCAGGTGCAGCTGCGGCTGGAGAAGAACTCGCTGGACTGCGAGGCGCCGCACACCGTGCACGACATGGTCATGGACACGGCCATCAAGTACGCCGACTACATCGCGCTGGGCTCCAAGCACAAGAACGGCTGGCACACGCTCACCTACATCGAGTACTACGAACAGTGCCGGCGCGCCGCCAAGGCCTTCCTCAAGGTGGGTCCCGCGCCGCGCCTGCGCGCCGCCCGCCTCTGCTGCGCCTGTGCACCCAACCCCTGCGCCTGCGCGCCGCTGCGTCCCTCCCGCGCCTGCGCGGCTTCTCTCTCCACCACGTGCTGCTCCGAGGCCGCCTCGGAGCTCAGGGTTGAGAGCCTAAGCCTTAGGATCTGGGTTCCAGGCCTAGGTCCCCGTTAGCCCCTCTGTGCCTCGTTTTCCCCATGTGAAACCATGTGGAACTCAGGGATTGTCTATTAAAAAATAAACAAATWTATGCAAGATATATTTACATATAAAATGTTTYATGTTATACATACATGAAATGCATTTTATATCTTATGCAAAAAATAAACTCCACGACTAAAATAGAAGTTATACTCCATTTAACTCCACTTATGTCAAAATGCATTGTCATGAATAGCTAATTAGAACAAATAAAAAGATAGTTTTCATGTTTTATATATCATACATAAAATAATGTGCATATGTTGTACGTGTAGCTATATAATATGGATATTTATATATTTATATGTATATATATTATACATTTACATATGTGAACATAATTTTATACATGTTTTATATATGTGTATATTTGTTTTATATATTATGCATATATTTCTTTTTTAAAAATATTTTTTAGTTGTCAATGTACCTTTATTTTATTTATATGTGGAGCTGAGAATCAAACCCAGTGCCTCATGTATGCTAGGCAAGTGATCTACCACTGAGCTACAACCCCAGCCCTATATGTATATTTCTATGTGTTTGTATTGTGTGTGTGTGTGCATATTTATTTATTCATTTATTTATTTATTATTTTTAGATGTAGATGGAAACAATACCTTTATTTATTTGTTTTTATGTTGTACATACATGAAATGCATTTTATATCTTATACAAAAAATAAACTCCACAACTAGAATAGTGAAAAGTTATACTCCATTTATACTCCATTTGCCAGGGGTCAAACCCAGTGCCTCATGCATACTAGGCAAGCGCTCTACCATTGAGCCACAGGCCCCTTATTTATTTATTTATTTTTAACAGTACTGGGATGTAGAATGCCCAAACCCAGGAGCATTCTACATTTTAAGACAGGGTCTTGGAGCTGGAGTCATAGCTCAGTGGTAGAGCACTTGCCTAGCATGGGCATCAGCACCACATAAAAATAAATAAATAAAACAAAGGGATTGTGTCATCTATAACTAAAAATATTTAAAAATTAAAAAAAAAAAAGACAGGGTCTCACTAAGTTGTCCAGGCTGGCCTCAAACTTATAATCTGTTTGCTTTAGCCTCCTAAGTAGCTGGGATTATGGACATGTATCACCAGGCCCAGCTGTATTAATATACATTATATGCAAAATATACTATGGTTTATGTATTATGCATATATAGCTTTTATATATCTTACACACATGAATGTTTTATATATTCTACTTATAAGTATATTTTAAATATGGGCTGTGGCTGTGGCTCAGTAGTAGAGCAGTTGCCTAGCATGTGTCAGGCACTGGGTTTGATTCTCAGCACCACATAAAAAATAAAAAAATAAAGTAAAGGCATTCTGTCCATCTATAACCACCCAAAATTTTCTTTTAATAAATGAATACATATCTTAAATAGGTCTAATGTATTCAATCTATCATATGTTTCTATGTTGACATTATACATTTGATACTTGTACATTAGATTAATATACACTGATGTCTCATGTATAAATATATGAAACACTCCAGAACCCAGTTCTCCGTGGGGGGTGGACTTGCACGCCTGGGTAGCTCCCCACACATGGACTTGGCACTGCCATCAGCTGCCATTCTGAGGATGGCTGTTACTGGGTCTCTTCTCTGGTGGCATTTTTAGCCAGGTCTTTCCTGACTGTCCTTGTTCTCAAAACCCACCTCCCTATGCCCTCTGTGACATGGTCCCTTTGTCACTGCCCCCCAGCCCTCATGGCTGCCGGATCCTGTGGTCGTTTGTGTGTTTGGTTGGTCTGTCCCATGAGGATGAGCCGTGGGGACTGCCTTGCTCTGGCATGTGCTGATGTATGAACACCCGTTTTTCAGGTTAGGAAAGGGGCCCGAGTGATGCCCGCTCAACATGATGAATAGCTGCAGTAGGTGACAGTGATCTGTGACCCAGAGGAAACTGGGGCAGAAAAGGGATTAGAAAGCGCCAAGGACGTGGTTGAAATTTTAAAATATGATGGTCATGGAGAGAGTCTCGGTGATAGAAGGTGACATTTCAGCAAAGACCACAGGAACTGGGGAAAAGAGCCACGAGGAAGGTGCAAAAGCCCTGAGGCAGAACTGTGTCTGGCGTGTTGGAGGCTCAGCCAGGAGCCCCTGTTGGAGCAGAGGAAAGGGGGAGGCAGGTGGGGGAGTAGGGCTGGTCCTGCGGGGCCTTGTGGGCTACAAAGAGGACTTGGACTTTAACGCCAGGAGGTGGAAGCTGTGGAGGGGTGGCTGAGAGGCTTTGGGCAGAGAAGAGACAGAACTCGGCTCAGATGCCCCCTGTACCCGCTCTGGCTGCTGTGGGGAGGAACGCAGGGAAAGCAGTCAAAGTGGAGATGAAGATACTTTGGCAGAGATGGAGGAKGGGAGCAGTGATCAGATTCTGAAGGTGGAGCCAACAGAAGTTTCCGTGGGTTGGGTGTGTCCGACAGTGAAAGGCACTGAGAGTGACCAAGACTTCTCACCTGTGCATCATGGAAGGTGGAGCCAAGGTGGACTGAGACTGTGGAAGGGTGAGAGGAGGGAGCAGACATGGGCGGGAGACATCAGCATTGCCACTGTGCTGTGTGGGGTCTGGGCGAGGAAGCAAAGACAGGCTGCTGTATCCAGGAGTCTGGGGTGGAAAGGAGCGACCCTGCCCAGGTCCGAAGGGACCACCTGCTCGGTCCCCAGCCAGGGAGGGAGCCCCGTGTGCGCCATGTTGGATTGTCAGTCGTGTGTGCTGGCAGAGCTTGAGCGCCGGCCATCCACACCAACATTTTATCTGAGAAGGTCAAAACAATTCAAACCTAACAACCAGGAGCCACCAGAACCTCAGCCTGGGGCTGGGGGAGGCTGAAATGACGACACCGTGTCTCTGAGATGTTGCGTTTGACATCGTAGGGAAATAGCTGAAGGCCGGGAGAGGGGCCAAGACGGTGGTGTGTGAACACAGGCGTTAGGAGAGCAGAGCGCAGAGTGGCCGGGCTCCACAGGACTTCCAGCATAAAATGCCAGAGCGTGTTGTCAGTGTCTTCTTGACTTCCTTAATCTCTGGGCTGCTGTGCTTTGGGTCCAGAACATGCTCTGTGGTGGACACTTGTCTGGGCCAGCGGTATTCCCTCCCGCAAGTTGTGACAGCCAAAAATGCTTCCAGGTGTCACCAAATGTCCCAGGGGGCAGAATCACCCTGGTCATGACCCCCATGAGTATGTGGAAGCTGGTCTGTCATGAGGGCTGTCTTAGGAAAAAAGGACCAATGTTCCTCTGAGTGGGGATCCCCAGATTCTGGGCTCCCAAGCTTCCGGGCAGGTTGGGCGTGGTGACAGCCAAGCCCATCTGTGCCTGACCAGCTGTCCCTTCTCCAGCTGGGCCTGGAGCGCTTCCACAGCGTGGGGATCATGGGGTTCAACTCCGCGGAGTGGGCCATCGCCAGCATCGGAGCCATCATGGCAGGGTAAGGGGTACTGGTCTCTCTCCTGAGCCCTCCCCCTTGTAGATGGTGGGGGTCTCATGGCAGAGTCCCCAGGACAAGGAGYTGACCTCCACTCAGCTCAGGCTGTGCTCAGTGGGATTTGTCTAAGTGCCAGTCCGGAGCTCAGCTCACCTTCCAGATGTTCTCTCCCCAGCAAACTCATACACCGCTGTGACGCCACCTCTCCCGTCCCTCCTCCAGGAAGCCTTCCCTGCCTCCCAGTCCRCAGGATTCCCCCGCACTGAGCCCCCCCTCCACTAATCCCAAACACTGGGGGAGTCCCTTAAGGACAGCCCAGGCTTGAGCCATCCCTGAGTCCCAACTTCAGGGGACATCATGGTGGTTGGGGTACTGGGGACTCCCAAGAACCTTCTAGTTCTCCAGAGCACTCCCCAGCAGGCCTTCAGCTCCTGGATTCTGCTTCCAGAGGTTTCTCTGTTGGCATCTTGTCCACCAACTCCCCAAAAGCCTGCCAGGTCATCGCTGAGAACACGGATATGGACATCTTTGTGGTGGACAATGACAGGCAGCTGCAGAAAGTCACCCAGGTGAGTGACACTCTGGCCTGCGAAAACCAGGAGGCACACCAGGGGGCACAGTGCAGGCAAAGGCAAGGGCCTCACCTAGTAATGAGGGGAGTCCCATGTGTGTCCCATGAGTGGACATGACGTGCCACTCACCATGGCATTGTATAAGTGCAATCACTGCCTCTGGTTCCAGAGCATTGTCACTGCCCTGAAGGGACAGTCACTCCCCAGACCTGGAAGCCAGCCATCCACCTTGCGTTTAGGGATTTGCTTGTGCAGATTTGTCACCTAAATGATATCAGGCAACCAAATCCACGGTGGGGGACCTGACTGTCCACAGCGCGAGGCTGAGCGGCAGCGAGGTGCTCTTAGGCAGGGGCTCTGAGACCTTGCTCCCTGCTCTGGGTAGACACCCAAAAGATTGGAAAATAGGATCTTGAAAAGAGATCTGAACCCAGCCCGAGTCACATGGCATGATTCATAGTATGGGGGGGGGGGAGGAATCCAAGTGTCCATCAACAGATCAATGGACAAATTCAGAGTGTCCACCCAGACCCTGGAGTCCACTCAGCCGTGAGAGAGGGCAGGCTCTGACACACATGGCAGCACTGGTGGACCTTGAGGAACTCGCACTCGGGAAGAACCGGAACCGAAGGACGTGGGGTGTGGCTTTGCTTAYGTGAACCGTCTAGGATATGCAGATCCATGTAAAAGGTGGCTTCGTGGTCACTGGGCTGAGGAAGGGGAATGACTGCCAATGGGCAYGGGGTTTCCTTTTTGGATGAAGGAATATTCTGGAACCAGGTCATATACACAGCATTATGAATGTGCTCCTGACTTCGTCTGCTTTAGARTGGTTCAGGGTGGTACGATCACACGTTATCTTGCCACATTAAGGACATGGGGGACCCCCTCTTCACCTCTGGAAGAAGYCCCGGACAGCTGGAGCCTGGGAGCTACCTGCTTCCATGCCCTGCTGAGCGCAGTGTGCCTTCCAGATCCAGAGCTACCTGAAGCACCTGAAGGGCATCGTGCAGTACAAGGATGAGCTTCAAGTGGAGCAGGAGAATCTATATTCGGTACGCCCCAGCCGGGGAGGGCAGGCAGGCAGGCAGCCACAGCTGGCCAGGGACCAAGAGCCCCAGCCTCTGGCCTGGGGCCGAGGACACTGGGCTGTGGGAGACACTGGGGGCCCTTCCAGGGGCTGCCTCTGGCCCCAAGAGCCTAACCCACAGACCTCTCTGAAGTGGAAGGAGTTCCTGAACCTTGCAGGCGACATCTCAGATGAGAAACTTGACCGGGTCATCGACTCCCAAAAACCCAACCAGTGTTGCACCTTGGTCTACAGCATGGGGTCCACGAGCCTCTCAAAGATTGTGATGCTCAGCCATGACAACGTGAGTGATCTGCCTGGAGGGGATGGAACCTACCCGGCTGTCCCCAGCTGGCCCTGTGGCTACTCCTGGGGACTGAGACTGAAACAGCCTGCAGGTGACTAGTCAGTTGCCCTYCAGATCACCTGGACCACGGCGGCCACCGTCCAGAGCCTCTGTTATAAGTGTCCCCCGGAAGGGCAGGAGGTCCTGGTGAGCTACTTGCCACTCAGCTACATCAAGGCCCAGATTTTCGACATGTGGGTGGCCATCTTGGTGGCGGGGACACTGTACTTTGCCCCACCAGAGGCTGGGAGAGTGGGTATGATTCCACGTCCCCCTGGAGCGGTGAGTGGCCTCCTCTCTCCCCTCTTTCTCTTCCTGCTTCTTCCCTCCCTTGAGGTCGGTGGCTAGGGAGGGCTCCCTGGGTGGGGGGCTCGGTCCAGAACAGAAATCCTCACCCTGCACCCCCTGGCTGTGCGGGCTCSGTCCTTCCCCTCTCTGAGCTTCAGTTTTCCCATGTGCAAGGCACAGGGGGTGGAGCAGACGTCAACCAATGTCACTGAGTGTGACAACATGTGGCCACCACTTGGGCCAGAAGGGCAAGTGCACGCAGCTGGACGGAAGCACCAGGAGCAGAGTGGACACGCCCTCGGGGCTCTGGGCGAGTGAGCTGAGCCACACCTTGGGGTCCACCGCGCGCGAGAAYAGCAGCCTAGAAAGGAAGGGAATTCTGGGGGTGCCATGGCCAGACCCATCATCCCAGCGGCCCTGGAGGCTGAGGCAGGAGAGTAGCAGGTTCAAAGCCAGCCTCAGCAACTTAGTGAGGCCCTATGCAACTCAGTGAGACCCTGTGTCTGAATAAAATATAAAAAAGGGGCTGGGATATGGCTCAGTGGGCAAGGGCCCCTGGGTTCAATCCCTGGTGCCTGGTACCAAAAAAAAAAAAAAGGAAGGGAATTCTGACACATGGTGCAGTGTGCGCAGACCTTGAGGACAGGATGCTGAGTGAGAACCGGTCACAGAAGGACTCACCCTGCAGGACCCACCCACAGGAGTTCCCTGGAATCTCCAGATCCACAGACAGGAAGCAGCACGGTGGGAGCCGGGGCTGGGATGGGGTGTAGTGGTGAATGGGCAGTTTGGGGAGATGAGATCACTCTGGAGATGGATGGAGGGGACAGCTGCATGGGCATGTGACTGTGCTTTTGCCACTGAACCTAGACCTAGTTAATGAGGCTGGGCGAGGTGGCAAGTGTGTGTGGTCCCAGCTACTCAGGAGGCTGAGGCAGGATTGCTTGAGCCCAGGAGTTCAAGGCCAGCCTGGGCAGCACGCTGAGAACCCGATTTCAAAAAAAAAGGAGAAGAAAAAGAAAAACAGGCTAACTTGGTGAATTCTGTACACCATTAAAAACAAAAGCACAGCAGGTCTCCAGCACAGGAGGTGAGACTCCCTTCCTGCTGCGCCCGCCCGCCGCCTGTGTGAACACAGAGGTGCACGTTGCCATCCAGCGTCACACTAACTGCCCTGGGACCACTGTCTGCAGACCTCCAGGGAAGGAGCGAGGAGTGGACAATTTCAGCTTTCTGGGCCAAGAGATCAATTAATGGTGTTTGTAGACTTAGGGAAAGAACGCGTTTTCACAAATTTCTTGAGGGGAAAAAAGGCAAGTTTTTATGGACATGAACATTGGAATTTCATGTCGTTTCCATTGTCAGGGAGCCCTCCCGGGGGTGTGCTAGGGATGGAGCCCAAGACTTGGTGCATGCAAGGCAAGTGCTCTACCACTGGGCCCCAGCCCCTGTGTGACAATTTYCTTTTAAAATTTAAAAAGTAATTAMTTTTTAAGAATCAATTTAAAACCTTTAAATGAGCCAGGTGCAGTGSGGCACGCCTGTAATCCCAGTGGCTTGGGAGGCTGAGACAGGAGGATCACAAGTTCAAAGCCAGCCTCAGCAATGGCGAGGCACTAAGCAACTCAGTGAAATCCTGTCTCCAGATAAAATACAAAATAGGGCTGGGATGTGGTTCAGGGGTTGAGTGCCCCTGAGTTCAATCTATGGGGCCAAACAAACAAAATGTTTAGATGATACACAGTTGTCAGTGTCTGGATTCAGCGTGACCATTCAATCCGTGGATCCCATCAGGGCAATCAGCATTGGTACCGCCTTATGCACTGACCATTTTTGTGTTGGGATCCTTAGGCAATTTTTTAATTTGTTTTTGGTTTTGKACCAGGGATTGAACCTAGGGGYACTCAACCACTGAGCCACATCCCTAGACCCTTTTATTTTTTGAGACAGGGTCTTGCTAAGTTACTTAGKACCTCACTAAGTGCTGAGGGTGGCCTCGAACTTGTGATCCTCCTGCCTCGTCCTCAAGAATCATTGAGATTGCAGGCACACGCCCCCGTGCCCAGCTCTTCTAGCAATATTTTTAAAGTACATATATACTGGCAGAGAGCCCTGCACAGGTGCCAGTGATCCTGGGTTCATCTTAATCAGTGTCTTGCTCTCCATCCTTCTCTACTAATATTCTGGTTGAGGTCATGGCAGAATCTTTCTTGGTAAGAGAAGACTTTAGGGGCTGGGGGTACAGCAGYGGTAGAGCGCTCGCCTCGCATGTGCAAGGCCCTGGGTTCAATCCTCAGCACCACGTAAAAATAAATAAATTATTTAATTAAATAAAGTTATTTTTAAAAAGAGTAAGAGAAGACTTTAAAATGTGACAAAATCAGTTTATCCCACCTCCACTGCCCCCGCCCCCACCTCCCCCGGCCTCGCTCTGTGTGTCGCTGCTTGTCTCTCCCCATCTCAGCCTGGCCCTCTCTTCTTGGCTTGCTCTAGCTCTGTGCCTGTCTCTGTCTGGAGCTCTGTGTCTTTCTCCCTCCCTCTCTGTTTCTGTCTCTCTTCCTAGCACCATCTCTGTCTCTGTGTGTCTCTCTCTCTGTCCCTCCCTGCCTCTATCTCTCCACTCTCTCTCCATCTCCTCCTTTCCCCTTCCTTCCCTCCCTCCCTCCCTGTCTCCCTGGCTCCCTCCTCCCTCCCTTTCTCTTCCCCCTTCTTCCCCTCCTGGCTGCATCTCCATCCCTATGCCAGGGCAGATGCTTCTGGAGCCCACTCCTGCTCTGGATGTGGCCACCACTCTGTCCCTATATCCTTCCAGCCCTACCCCAGCTCCTAGCTGCCATCCTCAGGCCAAGATGGAGGATCTTGGGTGTAGCCCTAGGGTGGATGGAGGGCATGGACAGTGCTGTCCAGTTGGGGAACCAGCATGGCGCCCCATCCTGTCCCATGCAGGGCTTCCTGATGGACATGCTGCAGGAGGTGCAGCCCACCACGTTCTACGGCACCCCGTGGATCTGGGAGAGGATGCTGGACAACCTTAAGACCAGCCAGCTGGACTCCTCCCCCTTCCGCCGGAAGCTGGACTGCTGGGCCATGAAGCTSGGGCTCAGCACCAACAAGAAGAGGATGTTTGAGTGAGGCTGGGCACCCGCAGGGACGTGGGGTGGGYGGCCGAGGCCACGCCAGGCTCCCATGGGTGTGCTTCTCAAGGCAGGTCCACCCCCCGCTGTGCTTCCGCTTGGCCAAGATGCTGACGTTCAACAGAGCCAGGAAGTTCCTGGGCCTGAGTCACTGCGAGCAGTTCTTCAACATTGGCCCGGGGCTCCCCACGGCCACCCTGGACTTCTTCCTCAGCCTGAACATCCCCATCTTCGAGCTCTATGGCCTGTCGGAGGGCACGGGCATCCACACCCTCTCCAGCCACCAGGCCTTCCGGCTGCCAAGGTGGGTTCTGGCGAGGACCTGGATGCACCCGGGGCTTGTGCAGTTCCTGAGTATGGCTGTCACCCCAGCCAGCCTCCCATCTAAGGAACACATGTCCCGAAGTACATGACCAGTACCCTTTCTGGGTCCGGACCCGAAGCCCTTTGGTTTTGTTTTTGATTTGAAAATCATTATTATTGTTTTTACTAAAGGTAAAAATAGTCATCTTTGGCTGGTGTCTCTATGAGCTGCTATTAAAAGTGACCTCCAAGCTCAGTAACCCAGGACAACATCTCATAGTTCCTGTGGATCAGGAATCTGGGAGCTGCTTCCTAGGTCCTGAGTTTGGGGACAGGCTGCTGACCAGGGCCATCTCTCCCAAAGGCCACGGGAGCTGGAGGGTTCTCTGCTGAGATGACTCCCTTGCATGGCTGAAGCTGGAGGCCCCACCCAGCTTCTTGCTGGCTCTTAGCAGGAGGCTTAGTTCCTTTGCTATGTGGCCCTCACCACAGGGCTGCTTGAGGTTCCTCCTGACATGGCAGCCAACTTACCTCAGAGCAAGAGATCAAGGTGAAAGGCATGATGTCCTCTGGGACTAGGGCTCTGAGAGTGGCCAGATTTAGAAAAAAAAAAAAAAAACAGGACATCCAGTTAAGTTTGCAATTTAGATAAACAGTGAATCATTGTTTTAGTATAAGTATATCCCATGTACTATATGGGCCATTCTTATACTAAAACCAAAATTTGCCTAACATTCAAATTTAAGCAGGTGTCTTATATTTGATCTGACTTTAGAAGTGGCACTTGGTCACTTCTGCCACATCTCTCCAGCCATGGGACAGCAGATCTATCGCCGTGGGGGAGGGGTTTCACAAGGATGTGGATGCCAGGAGGCACCGGGACCTTCAGGGCCCCAGAGGGGCTCATGGGGGAGGTTGAGCAGGGGATTGGGGCAGCAGTTGTTTTGTGGCAGCTCCTAGGCTGGGCAGAACCCTGCACTGCAGGACCCATTCTGGGTGGGTGGCTGACAGGGGCCCTCCCAGCTGCAGGGCCCTGAGGGTGGCAGGTCCTGACCTCAGTCGTCCATCTGAGTGGAGGGGGATGCTCTGGGGCTTGGCCTGGAGCAGGTGCAGCACAGCCTGCTGGCCGTCCCCCTGGAGCGGGTGCAGTGCGGTCTGCTGGTTGTCCCCCACCCTGCCGCCTCAGCCTTCGTACCTTCACTTTTTTTCTCGTTGGCTTGCAGGTGGCAGGCCTCTCACTGTGTCCTCATGTGACAAAAAAAAAAAAAAAAAAAAAAAAAGCAGGAGTGTTCTCTGCGGCCTCTTTAATAAGGGCACTAATCCCACCTTGGGCCCCCGCACGTCCTGATCTGACCCAGTCACCTCCCACCCCGTCTGCAGGGACCACCCCTGGGGAGTCCAGGTTTTAGCATGTGAATTTTGCCAGAGAGGGCACAGTTGGGGCCACAGCGATGAGCACCTGGCCACTGCTTGGCCCCAGCTGAGTGTCCAGCTGGGTCTCCTGGGAGAAAGCAGGGCAGGGGTGGGGGTGCCCGCGTGTCCTGGTAGGAGCCTGGAGCTTGGAGAGGCAAAGGGCCAGGTCTCCAAGCAGCTGAGCAGCAGGAGAGCCCGTTCCTGCCCCAGTATTCTGGATCCTACTTCTCCTGCATGGAAACCTGCAGCAGCAGCTGGCAGGCCCTAGAGGCGTCTTGCTGTGTCCCCCAGGCTGGGGGCCATGAGATCACACTGGCAGTCTCCCTTCAACCTTGGCTCTTTGCCTTGTGGGACTCTAGGTCCCAGAGGAAGCCAGGAACCCTTAAAAGGGGCTGCGCACAGGGTGTGGCACCTGGCAGCGTCTGACCACCCCCCTCCCCTCCAGCTGTGGGAAGGGGCTCCCCAACACCCACACCAAGGTGAAGGAGAACGAGAAGTGCACTGGGAACATCTGCATCTGGGGCCGGAACATCTTCATGGGGTATCTCAATGACAAGGAGGGCACCCAGAAGATGATGGACTGCTACGGCTGGATGAACACCGGAGACCTGGGCTGCTTGGATGTTAATGGCTTCCTTTATGTCTTGGGCAATGTCAAGGGTGAGGCAGGGTTGGGTCTGTGGGGCTGCCATGGATGGTGGTGCAGGTGGCATACAGTACAAGGCCACTTAGGGCCAATGCTGGGCTTGGAGGCAGGGCCACCCTTGTGTGCCTGGGCTGCTGTTCTGCAAGGGGGGGCTGCTGTGGGACGGTGTCTCCTACCTGATCTGCTGTCTTGGCATCCCCGGGGGCCGACTGGATGTGGCTTTTCAGAGTTGCCCCTCCTCCCTCCCACGTGTAGACCTCATCACCCTGAGCTCAGGGGAGAAGATCAACCCCCGCCCCATCGAGGAGCGGGTGAAGACGCACATCCCCATCGTGCGCCACGTCATGGTGGTGGGCCAGGACGCCCCGTACCTGTGTGCCCTCCTCACACTGAAGGTGCCTCGGACAGTCTGGGATGGCGGCTGGTTGGTGGGAACTGCTGTCCTGTTGCAGGAAGAGGAAATTGAGGCTCAGAGCTGGGGGGGTGACTTGTCAGTCCCCAGCACGGAGGGCACCCCTGGCTCTGAGGGCAGTGGAGCCTGGTGTTTGTCCTATGGCCTTTCTCAGAGTGGGTGGAGGGCCACTGCTCAGGGATGCCAGGTCCAGGACCTCTGGGGACCGGAGGTGCTGGCCTCCACAGGGACAGGACCTCCCCCCGAGAGCAGCATCCCAACCACACCAGGCTCGCCCTCTCCAGGAGGGGAGCCCTGCACACAGGGGACATCCCCTCCCTCCTCCTGSAGGCAGCCAGGACCTGGGTCTGGGAGTGAGTGCCCGCAGTGGATGGGCTGGGTGGAACAGTACCGACGGTCTAGTGACCGGTGACCCACGGTGGCCAGCCCCTGGCCTGGTGTGGTGGTGGGTGTGGATGGTTGGGGGCAGCCTGACCCGGCCCCCTCCACAGTGCCAGATCAACTCAGAGACTGGAGAGCCCCGCACAGCACTGACCAGCGAGGCCGTGGCTTTCTGCCGGAAGCTCAAGAGCCAGTCCACCAGGCTGACGGACATCCTCCACAAACGCGACCCCGTTGTCATGGAGTTCATCAGCCAGGGGATTAAGGCTGTGAATGCAGAGGCGCCCTCGGAGAGTGCCAGGATCATCAAGTGGGCCATACTGGACACAGACTTCTCCGTGGGTGGCGGGGAGCTTGGTGAGCAGATGGTGGGCAGTGGTCCTGGTTGGTCACTGGCCTGCCAGCTCCCCAGACATGGGGGATAGGCCTTGACCAGCAAAACCTACCCCAGCCCCGTGCGTGTGTGGGCTCCCTTCCCCAGGGCTTCTGGAATGGAAGAGGCGCTGCCCCCAACGCTGCCCCCCACCCTGCATGTCCACATCTGACCCAGACTTTTGGTGCAGTCTCTACCCCAGGGGTCATTTGCACCCTAGGACCTTGAACACTTTTGTCAGAATGCTCCAGATCTCAGGGTGGGGTCCCCACACTTGCCCCCTGGTTCCCTTCCGCTGGCTCCCAGTAGGGCCTCCAGCTTCCCAGGACCCGCCCTCTACACCCTGGAGCCGCTTGCCCTGCTGTGTGAGGGCTTCCCAGGGCAGGTCCACTTCATACCTCTGCTCTGTCACAGGAATCACGGAAAGACTGAAGAGGGTGGCGGTGGCCAAGATGTACCAGGCGGAAATCGATGACTTGTATAAGGATTTTGGTTAATGACCAGGAGGCTCTGCTGGGCTGCCTTCTCCGCAGGTGGCCTGACCCCTGCCTCTCTCCCTCCTGTTGACAGTCCAGGGCTGATTCCCAGAGGAAGGGAAAGTGCCTGTAGTGAGGCGGGTTTGAAGGAAACTGGCTCTCTCTGGACAAGGGCTTTACATTTTAGTAATAAACTTGGTTCACTAGGGCGGCTCTCAGCTGGGATGATCCTGGGTGGTGTCTGGGACCTGTGTCTGTCAGCCTGGGGAGCTGCTGGCCTGCAGTGCTCAGCAGGAGGAATTGCCCGCCCAGCTCTGAGATGTCTCAGTGCTGAGAGGGACCCTGGGCTCAACCAAGTCCTCACTCTGGCTTTGAGTAGAGGTCCTGGAAGGCTCAGAACTGCTGCAATGGAGCCCACGGGCTTCTTGCTTTACTCTCAAAATGATTCATGTGAGAAGCCACTGAGGGGCAGCTGGAGAGGGCTCCTCCACAGACAGGAGCCACTGCTGTGTGCCAGTGCCTGAGGCACAGGTGCTGGGTGAGCCTAGGTGCAGGGAGGAGGGGACACCCAGGTTCACACACTGTACTCATGAGGAACACTTTGGGGACTCATGGTTCAAATGGTGCACATTAAACCCCACCCAGAACCCAACTATTAGAAGAGGCGTGGAAATGAGCTCAGAGCCAGGCACGGTGGCCATGCCTGTCATCCCAGTGAGATGAGAGGCTGAGACAGGAGGATTGCAAGGTTGAGGCCATCCTTAAAAACTTAGTGAGAGCCTGTCTCAAAATGAAAAATAAGCAGGGCTGGAGGTGCCAGCCTCAGGAGCTCYGATCCAAGATCCTCCCCCAAAGCTGCATTAGTCTCACAGGAAGGGCAGGGGCAGAGGAGGCTGCAGCCCTCATGTTGGGACTGCAAATTTTGGCTGTTGACTAGGAGAAAGGAGGACACATGCTCCTAGAGTGATCCAGGGCTGAGCTGTGTCCTGTCCTCCGGCTGCCACCTGCTGACAAGTGGTCTCCATCCTTGGCTGCTACTGGGGGTGGGGTAGTGGCAGAGGGTATTGGCCGGCAGTGCTGCTCGCTGGGTGGAGTGAGAGCTCTGCTGGGTTCCATCAACAGGCTGGTTGTCACCTGGACTCCTGTCAGGGGTGCCTCTGCCCCCATTTTCTTTTCCTGCCACCTCCACCTCCTCACCCAACCATGCGCCTCCGTCCTCTGAAGCCAGGCTCCCCTTGCCACCCAGACTTTGCTGCCTGCTTCCAAGGAGACAGCCGAGCAGCAGCAAAGGCCACACGCACCCTGGGGGGCCGCGTCTGCTTCTCCAGGGTGCCAACCTGTCACACTGTCGACCCCACCTGCAGCCCACCAGGCTTGGTGCCAGCCTTCCCTCCCTCTCCTGGTAGTGGGTCTACAGGCACGGAGACGAGAGGACTGTGCACCTTGTCCCGGGACACCACATGCATGCAGAGGGCTGCTTTCCCATCTGACTTTATTTCACTTTTTTTTTTTCTATAAAACTCCTCCATAATTTCACAATTTAACAAAAAAAAAAAAAAGTTTAAAATTCAGGACAGAAACAATCCTGTAACTCATTACAAACACAATTCTCCTTATTCCTTTTTCCCAGGAGTTGGTCTCAGGCCGATTAAGTGTCCCAGTTCCTCAGTTCCTAGAGACAGATTCTGGTAAAAACCCTTGCGGGTGAGAAAGGCTTGGACACCCTTCGCTGTCCGGCATCGGTTTACATTTTGCTCAGGAGAAAGTGAAACACAGGGATTTGCACCAGAGCAGGTGGCTTTACATGAGACACATGGCAGTCACAGAGTGCTGGGCCCTTCCTATGGAAGCGTCCCCAGAGCCCAGCGGGGGTGGGGAGCAGCAGGAACCCTGCAGTCAGGTCCTGGCTGCCCGGCACCTCCACTGGTGGCCACARGGCCAGTCCTGGGCCCATAGCAGCTCCAGGGGACAGTGGTGAGGCCTTCCGGTCAGAGGAGGTAACTGAGAAACGGGTTGAAGCTTCCGGAGGCCACAGAACTGCAGGAAGGACTGGACGCTGCTGCCGAGGGCAAGCAGGAGGGCTTCCCACATTGCTGTGTGGACCGGACAATCCCACCAAGGAGAAAGAACAGCCCCTTGGGCTGAGGGCCCGCTGAGGGCCCACTGGTGACCTGCTGCCTCTGCACAGAGGACTGAACAGCTGCCATCTTCCCAGCAGCCTCTGCAGGGCCGGTCTGTTCTGTCCATGTCTTGGAGTGTTCCCAGAGAAGGAGACGTTCCCCTCTGGAGTACTGGTGGCCTGCCCTCCTCCTTTTGAAGGCAGTGGGCAGGAAAGTGAGCGTGGGAGAGTCGGTGCTGAGGCTTCCTCTGAGTTCCTGGCCTTTCCCGGAGAATCTGGGGCTCTCCCCAGCTGGAGCTGGGGTCCCCCCAGGGAGTGTTCAGGTCTGCTTGACAGGCAGACCCAGAGCGAGGACAAGACGAGGGACCCTGCCGCCTCCTGTGTCTGAACATCAGCAGGCGAGATGGAGACTCCCACCACGGGCTGGAGAACCGGGGGCCACCGCAGGCCCAGTCCTCCTTCCCACGCTGTGTCAGGGCGCGAACACTGGAACAGACTCTGAAGCTGGGGGCCGGGGTGTGGGGAGCTCTGGATCAAGGTCTGGGAAAACCCAGAGTTGGCTGACTACAAGGGCTCTGGGCCCTGGAAAGGCGGGCCGGGCGGAGCTGGACTGGCTCGGTCCTTGGAGATTCCCAGGTGCACAGTTCAGCCTCCAGGCTGCACCCAGGGTGAACCGCAGCCATGGAGGCGGAAGTCGCACGAGGAGAGGAGCCTGAGGCCTATGCCCGGTRGGGCCCACACCCCAGCCACAGGCTGAGTGCACACGCACCTCCAAACCACAGACTATCCCGTCTTATTTGGCAAAAGCTCATTTTTTTTTTTTTCAAAGTTCGAAGACTTGATTAACAGAAGGGGAGGAAGAGAATCCTACAGGAGGAGCAGCCCAGAGGCTAAGCGTCTGTCCCTAGAGACTGGGTACCCACCTGAGGAGCTGCCAGGGAGGGGCAGCTCCCCCAGTGCCCTGAGGACTGGCTGCCCCGTGGTCATGTTCACTGGCTCTGGGAGCCCCAGCAGGGGGGCAGCGGCATCCTTGGACCCACAAAGTGGGGGTTCCTCTGTGCCCTGGGAGGCCAGCCGGCAAGAAGACCCACRGAGACATCTTAACCTATAAGCCCCACCTTACCCCCCACCCCCCACGTGCACCGTGGCCACAGAAACGCACATTGGAAACTGCTTCTGGACACACAGCGCGCACATATATATACTATACATAGAGCTGCACAGCACGGAGGCCTGGCACAGTGAGGGCCCACACAGGACGCAATGCCGGCTGGCACAGAGGGCAGCGTGGCCCAGCCTGGTGCAGACACAGAGCCTCCCCAGGTCCCAGGCAGGCTGCGGAGGTGGCCCCAGCTGTTCAGAGAGGCCCAGACAGAGAAAAGGCGGCACAGAGCCCCCATGGAGCTGGGGACAGAGCCACCATTTGTTTAGGGGGCTGGTCCCTAGGTCGGATGAGGGGCCCTCAGTCATACACATTCCATGGAATTTTCTTCCTCTTTCAGGAGCGAGGCCCAGCGCTGCCTTCAACATAAACCGCATTCTGAGGGGAGCCCGGGTAATGGTGCACGTGAGGCTGGGAGCCGCAGCACTGGCCCGACCCCTGGGCCCCAGGTTCCCAACAGGGTGGTGGGTGGCAGGCTGGAAGCCACCCAGAAAAGTGCAGCTGGCTGTGAGGGCTGAGGGCAGGGCGGTCACTAAGGCAGTGCTGCGGGCGGGCAAGTCAAGAGAGAGGAAGGCAGGCAGGGCCTGGACATGGCCTCCCAGGACCCTGGCGGTGGGGGCCTGGCACCTGGCCCAGGGTCATGTGGCCACGGCCTCCAGGTAGCTCTGCAGCTTGCGCACGGTCGTCTCGTCCAGGGAGAAGAGATCGAAGTCAAAGGTGGTATTGGTGACATTGAAGTGGCCAGTCTCCTCAATCAGGTTCACGATCTGCAAGGCAGAGGCAGGTGGCCTTGGGTCAGAAGGCTGAGGCTAGGGTGGCCCCGCAGACCCCCAAGAAGGGAGGCTCCGGGGTAGGGTGCTCGTGCCCCACCCTCACAGGGCAGTACCTGCTGCAGCACATTGCGCTCCCGCAGCGCCATCAGCCTCCGGTGCAGCTCCACCAGCTCGTCTGTGTAGGCCTGGGAGGGCGGGAGCCTCAGCACAGCCCCCCAGCCTGCCCGCCCCACCTGCAGCCCCTCCAGCACAGTGCCTGCCCCCTGGGGGGAAAGCACCTCCTTGGGACCTGGGGAAAGGCCACCCCCTCCCGAGGGCAGTCCAGCTTTGGGGGCTCAAAGCCTCTAGGCTGTGCCGCCCACCCGGCCACCCCGCCCAGCCACCCTGCCCGGCCACCTTGTCGTAGGCGCCTTTCTTGAGGATCTTCTCAGGCTTGCTGCAGGGCTCGGGGCTCCTCCGGCCTGATGCCTGCGGGGAACCCAAGGTCTCTGCTGAGCTCATTCCTTCTTCTGACCAACCCCTCCAAACCCTCCCAGGAGGGCCACAGAGACCTCATGTGGGGCCTGGGGGTGAGGAGCTCACCTTGCTGTTGGGTGGGGGGGGCTTCTGCGGGGGTGGGGGCTCACGACCAGGCAAGCAGGAGTCGGCACTATTGTCACTCTCACTGTCACTGAAACTCAACCTGAATGACAGACAAGGCAGCACATCAGGTGCAACGGCCACTGGCCTTAAGACAGTGCCCTGCACTCAGGCTGCGGTGTTGGCACCAGCCTGCACTGGGCTCCAGGAGGCTGAATGGAGGAAGGGTGTGCCCATGTGAGGTCACCACTGCCAGACAGGGTGTGTCAGGAGTCTGCCCTTCAGCCCGGCTCTGCTCCTTTCCAGAAGGTGCCGCCTGCCAGAGGATCTACCCCATGCAGGGCCCGATGCCCGGCGGGGCCACCAACATGGGGGTGTCTGGTGGTGATGAGATGCCCTGAGGGGAACTTCCACCTCTGCCTCAGTTTCCTCATCTGTAAAAGAGGCTGCGTGATCACATGGGAGGTAACGAGCACTCTAYAGTGATGGCCACAGGCAGGCAAGAGGTGGCCTCCTGGGAGCCCCGTGGCCCTCACCCTCTCAGTGTGGGTAAAACACCCCAGCCCAGACCTACAAGCTTTTCCCACATCTCTTGCAGTACAGCAAGAGGGGTACACAGAGGGACCCCCAGATGGCCCTGTGGGTGCCACCCATCCCACTGCCTGGATCCCTGTTCTGTCAGGGACCCTGTCAGGGCTGTGCAGGGAGCCCCCGACAGACATGCTCAACACACTTCCTCTCCTGCCTCACATAGGCCCTGCCACTGGGCAATGTGCCCGAGGCTGTGCAGGCTGGAGCCAAGCAGGGTGCACTCCACCCCTCTGTGCGGTGATCTGCTCCTCCCGCTGTCCAGGAGCAGTCAGCTAGGCTCTGTTGGGAGCCCCTGCTCTGAGGCTGAGAGCTGGAGCCAGATCTCTCTAGTTGCCAGGGCAACGTGACAGCTTCCGCTTACTCCTTACTTCTGCTTCTTTCCATGTCCAACAGGTGGTGCTGGACGCCATCACAGACCCAGAGTCTCTCCAAGGAGCACACTAGGAYGGGTGGGGCCTTGCCAGCACCTGCTGCAGCTTCCCAGCCTGCGTGGGCCTTCTCTGACAAGCAAGCTGTCACCAGGGCCTTTCACAAATGCCCCTGGGAAGTGGACTCAAGTCAGAAGGGCTGCTTCTCATTGGGTCCCCACACTGTTGTAGGCCCCTCCAACAGGACCRTGTCTGTCTGTCTGAGCGCATGGCTCTGTGCCTGTGCAGAATCCACATTTGGCATCATCACACGAGGCAGAAGCCTGCTGCTTCTCCTGTCCTGGGAAAGCCACAGTTCTCCCTGCACCCAGGAACTGAGTCCCCTTTGGTGCCCAGGCTGAATCTTTCTTGTCAGGCTCCCATTTCTACTGGGCTCCTCTGTGCACTGGGGTGGCAGGGAGCCTTGGCACATGGTGGACCTGTGTGAGCACTCTCTTGGCCCCAGCACTCCAGAAGAGGGTTTTAGTCAACAGCACAGAGGGCTGCACGTGTCCATTAAGCCTTCTGTRGTTCATGAAGCCCACTGGTGTAGATTGGCATCCACCTCTGATTTAAAGAGGGCCCAGTGGCCTCAGCTGACCCCAGCCCCTACCGTCCAGCTGGCGCTCACTGCCCTGACAGGGCTCAGAGCCTCCCCTGATACCTAGGTCCTAAAGCCAAGGCCAGGATTTGCTCTAGGGCATTCCTGTTCTGGAGGCTAGGAACACAGAGCTCCCCCACCCCAAGTGGACCTCTCCAAGCATCAGGGGCATCCAAAGGACATACTCATCCCTCACTGGGAGAAGGCCAGACACTGTTCTCCATGCAGGGTGTCTCAGGTGGCCCTCACCCCACCACACATGTGGGGAGGGCTGAGGGGTCCTTGCAGAGGACCAGTGTGCTCCCCCCCCATGCCTCCTATAGCACTGGTACTTGGACAGCTGAAATGGAATCCTCCTTGCCAGGCAGCCACACCTTCAGCAACAGGGAAAGGCRCCCTAGGAAGGACAGCAGGCCCAGGAGGCCCACAGCTCTGGTGATTAGGAGAGGACAGTTGACCCTAGGGCGGAGGCAGGATGAAGCTGCCCGGGGCCCAATGTCCAGCTGGCTAGGGTGTCTCCCCATGCTGCAACTTGACCCTGGCTTGGTTCTCCTGAGAGACCCTCTGCTCCTAGCCCCCCTCTGGCCTGCCGGTTTTTGCCAATGCCAGGAATGGATACCTGGGGCCACTGGCTGGAGAGAAGCAAAATGGGCCCTGATAGTCACCCTGATCACCACCAGTGCCCACTCCTGCTGGGCCCAGTCACCTGGAATCCCGGCCCGGGTTTGCCTTGACGGTCGCCTCTTCGCCTGATGAAGAGTCATCCTCGTCAGACTCCTCAGACTGCAGGTCTTCCACCATCGAGCGTAGGGGTCCTGGGGAAGAACGAGGTGGGGAGGTCTCTACTGAGACCTCTTGACACTGACCCCCCTCCAAATGCACAGTCTCCTCTGGAGGTCCCTCCTGCTAGGAGGGCCTAACGGCCAATCCCTAAACACTGTTCCCCGCCCTTCAGTGTCCCATTCCTAAAGGACCCTCTGCCTCCTCCCAATCTCTCCCTACCTTCCTGGCCCTCCTCGCAGGTCCCGGGTCCCTGGCCTGCAGCAGGACCACAGGGCCCCTCCATCACGAAGCCACTGGATCAGATATTAGAGGCTCAAAAGAGCTCAGGACAAGCCAGCCTCACTGAGGAAAGCACAGGAGCTAGAGCGTGGGCTCGAATGCTGTGCCAGGAACCAGAGACCCCTGTCCAGCCTGCGGCCCTATTCAGGCCTACCCAGCCTCTCAGCAACCCTGTCTGTCGCTCCCAGCCCACCGTCCTCCCCTTTCTCCAGAGGCGCCTGGTTCCAGTCCCCTACAGACGGCATCTTGGTTTATATTCCTGTTGCCAAGGCAACAGAGGGACACAAAGCCCTCAATTACCTTGGTCACATGATGCCGCTTCAGTAGGTTCCCCTCCCTAACCAGCCGATAAGCGTGGGCTTCAAGGACCCCATCCCCCAACCCGTGCCTGAATTCCAGGTCAGACCCTACACTCCCCCGACTCCACCCCCACCAAGGGATTCCAGCTAGAGGGGAGGAGAGTTTCATTCCCATCCCTAGAAGACCTGCTTYTGGTTTGAAGGTGGCTGCTGAGGTCTATGCTGGGCCCCAGCTGCTCTCATACCAGCGTCCTGAAGGTTGCCCAGTTCCCTCCCACCCTGGGGTAGGCTGTAGTGGTCAACTGGGCCTTATTCCCTCTCCCTAAAACCCCACAAGGAGGCCTGTAGGGAGACAGCAGACATGCAGAGATGGTGGCCTAGGCCTAAGTGCCAGCCAAATGCCTGAGTGACAGCAGAGCATTCTGAGAATTCCCAGTCTGCAGAAAGCATGAACCTCCGATGGGGGCGGGGACAGGATAGGCAAAAAACACAAAGCTGCCCATGAGGTACTTTTGCTTGGGAGGTCCCGGAGAGGAGGGTCCCTGGAACCTTGAGGCTCCCATCAGAAGGAGCTACAGGCCTGAAGCCTGTGGAATGGACACCTGGGGCCACTGGCAGGAGAGAAGCAAAACGGGCCCCAAAGGGCCGCAGGTCTGCAGACTTACTTCTGTTTTGCTTTTACATACAAACTCCCCCCACCCCCCCGCACCACCAAAACTCAACAGACACGGGTCCCCGGGACATTCTAAGGAGCCGTGTCAGCCCAAGTCAGGCTGCACAGCCTCAGGCCCTGGCTTCCTGCACCCCCAGCCAGCCCCCTAGTCTGACTGTGGCAGCAGCAGCTCCCACTATGTCCTGCCTCCCGCCTCTGCGGCCAACCCTCAGGCATGCAACAAGCCCCCTCAAAACTCAGTCTCATGAGGGAGTATCTCGCAGATCATCTTCTCTGATGACGAACCACATACCCAGCGGCCTACGAGTGGGGGCTGAAGTTTCTCTGCCCGCCCACCTCGGCCTCTGAGCCTCATCACACACCTTGGCTGTGGTTCTGAGAGGGCTCAAAATCTGAATCTGAGCTGGAGTCCGAGCTGGAGCTGGAGTTGGACGGGCTGGACTGGGCGGACTTCACCCCCATGGTMGGGGCGGGCAGGAAAGGAAGAGGAAGAAAACAGTCATTTTGCAGGCCAGAGGGAAGAACAGGCACACATGCCCTCTGGCAGTGCAGATGCCAACAACCCCCCTCCCACGGTGTCCCCCAGGCACCCTGACCCTGCACAGGACCCACCAGCTGTGGTGCCACAACACAGCTGTGTGGAGGGGCCTCCTTTCCACATGGAGGCTCCAGCAGCAGCAGCAGCAGCAGCAGCAGCTGCAGCCCCCCAGGCAGCTTGTCCATTGGCCCAGGAGAATAGGAGCAGGTGCTGGTTGGTGCACAGTGGGGACAGGGAAGGTGACAATGAGGCCTGGCTTCTCATTCAGACCCACAGCTATACCCACCCCAGGGTTCCTGGGGCAGCACAAAGCTCCACCTCCCACCCAAGTGTCACCACCACCCTCCAGCCACCCAGAAGCTGATGAGCAGTGTGTGCGCATGTGAGCATGTGTGTGTGCACGCATAAGTGTGACAGACACAGTGGAAGCTGGCTCATCTTCCTCCTCTTCCTGAAGCTATGCACCCTGACTCAGCCACCAGGGGGCAGTCAAGCCAAAGCAAATGTGACAAAGCGCAGCAGGTCAGGTGCCCAGCAAGAAGTCATAGGTGGCCAGGAGTCAACCACACAGACACCTGCATGGGGAAGGGGCCGATCCTGGGTCTGGTCCTTGCTCTGGGTGTGGGTTTCTGCAGATGGCTACCAAAGGTGTGTGTGGCAAAACCTGGGCAGGAGACCAGGCCTAAAGCTTGGGACGCTGCCCAGACCTTGGGGAGGCCACCTCAGACMCACGAAACTGTTGCTTGAACTGGGCGCCAGCCCTGCCCCTTGGTGGACCAGATAAAGGAATTAAGTACATGGAGCCCTCCCCTTGTGGAAAGGGGAGGGGAGGGCTGGAGGGGGACAGGGGAGGGAACAGAGGCAGCCAGCTAGTCTGGATTCTGGCAGAGGGACTAGAGCCATCAGCCCTGAGAGAAGATGCAGGAAGAGGAGTCCCTGACTCATAGGAACCAGGACCTCTAGTGCCTAGGATCCCATGGGGTTCCAGGCCAGAGGGGAAGAAAGGGCATACATGCCCTCTGGCAGTGCAGATGCCAACAACCCCCCACTCCTGGCGTCTTCTGTCCCCATGGTGTGTGGGAYCAGGGTAGCCTTACCTATGAAAGCGGCACCAGGAAGGCACTAGGTTTTTGTTGGCTTGGTGATCCAGAGTGCAATCAGGCTGCCTGGGGAGGGCACACCTCCTGCACTCTGTGTGCGCCAGGGTTTGCTGCAGCCTCTTCTGACCCAACCCAGCCTCTCCAAGCCTGCCACGCCAGTGTCCCTMTAGGCCCACCTTCCCCAAACTGACAAAGGGTGTTCTCTGGGACCCAGGGAATGGTGTGGCCCCAGGAACCCAGCAGAATAKTTTCCTATTGGCCACTGTTCATTGTAGGAACACTTGGGGGAAGTCCAACAGACCAGTTGGGTTCCCCCACAAAACCTGGGTCCAGGAACACCCCTCCCAACCCTGGATGGGCCTAGAGCCACATGGATCCTCTCACATGTACACCCTCGTGTCTGTGGGGGCAGAGTAAGTGATGGATAAACAGATGGCCACTGCCTTGGGTCCCTGTTCCAACCTCTGCTTTCTCACCAGCTGGCTTTTTTACTTGGGCCAAGGCAGCCCCCAGTTTTAAGTCTCAGTTTCCCCATCTGCAAAGGAGCTGCCCTCCAACCTCTGCTGAGCACATGCAGGTAGGAGCCAATCGTTCGTTCTCTGGCCTTTGGGGCAGAGGGAGAGTGTGTGAGCAGGGCTGGGAGCAGGCAGGGCAGCAGGCCAGCGCTAGCCCAGCCCCCTTGCACCCATGCCTGTCTATGGAGTGGTGTAGGGGGCCAGAAGTGGCGTCCAGCCCACAGGCTGCTCCAGTCAGCCAGGCCTGAAGAGGCGAGGGCCCCAGAGCCCCTGCTCTGGCACTGCGTCCAGCAGAGTCAAGCCAGTGGAGCTCACAGCCATGCTTGCCATCTTTCTCCCACACGAATCCAAGGACAGGAAGAAAAGGAAGTGGAGATGATTTAAAAAGCCTAGAGTTGGTGTGGCTGACAACACTCCAGTAAGCCCAAAGTAGCTGGGCCATGTCAAGTGTCCAGGAGGGGCATGGCCTATCCTCTTGCCTTCAGAGCACAACTGGCCCCGAGTGGATTAGGACTGACTGAACCATTCAGTCCTGCCCCAAGAGCCAAGGAGACCTCCAAGCAACCACTAGAGGAACTGGGTGCTGGGCCTAGGAACGTGCCCAGTGGGCTCTATGCAAGCCGAGTACCAGGACAGYGGGGCGAGGGGTGTTGAGGTGTGGTGACTCCAAGTTTCTGGCAAGTGAGGCCACATGCAGCCTCCTTGCAGGAAAGGCCTGAGATAGTCAAGAAGAGGCTGTGTAACTGCCATTGGGAGGCCTTTCTTTGCATCTTCTGCCACAGAAGTCTGTGGTCTGCCCAAGCCCTAGGGCTGGGAAACATCAGAAATCACTGGGCACACTGTTGGTGGCCTAGGGGTCAGTCTGCAGGGACCTTGGATGGCTGAGGCACCACTCAGAAGTCACTTGTTATGTGGGCTGCTCACCAGTCAGAAACCTCAAGTCTCCTGGGGCATCTCTGGCCTTGGGACCATAGTGCTCTCAGGCCACAGGCTTAACATCCAGTTCCCCACAAACGTCTGGTGGTTGCTGACGTCAGCATAGAAACCCAAGGTGAGGCCACTGACCAGGCAAGCCCTATGGAGCTCCAGCCCCCATCTCTTGACATATAAGCTGGGCTTTGGCTGCTTTCACCTGGAAAGGCCTGGTTGTGGGGCTGGATCTCACCCAGCACCAGTTCCCTGACCAGAGCTCTGGCTRCTACACAGGGTAGGAAGGAGGACAGAGAGGGCACCTGCAGGGCAGGGAGGGCAGGAAGGGTAGCCCCTGAGGTGGTCCAGGGCCTCTGTGATGCCTGGGATCCTCCCATCCCAGGAGCACTGGTGGGTCACCAGCTGTTGAGAAGCTGGGTGCTCAGTCTTGCCAGCTTGGTGGGTGCCCAAGAAGCAGGGGTGTGTGCCATGACCCACAGGACGGACAGCCATGCCCAGCAGGTGCTATTACCTCCAGTGAGGTGCTCTTGGAAGCCACACACTCACAAACCCAGCACTGCTAACATAAAGCCCCTCTGACCTCTTCTCTTGGAAGCCACACACTCACAAACCCAGCACTGCTAACATAAAGCCCCTCTGACCTCTTCTCCAGGAACTACCTCCCAAGTGCAGCTCCATGCAGCATCCCTGAAGGTAAAGCTCCCGCCTTGGCGTGAGTACCATTTGGAAACCAAAAAAGCCACTGGGGCCATGACCTGGGCACTTTTTCATTCAGGTATGTCACATGGGGCCTCTGAAGACAAAGCCAATAGTGGAGGCTGATTCAAGATCCAGCCATGAGGCTGAGGGCTGGGCTCTAAGTCCTATGGCACAGTGTCCCTGCTAATGGTCCTCAGAGGGTCTCCTGGACACGCTGCTGCCAGACAAGCCCAGCACTTCATAGGGACAGATTGCTTGCTGAGAGCGAGCCAACTACGAGTAGCAGTGTCCCTGCTATGTATTGGTCAGCACAAATGGGTGGGAAGGGACCAAAACTGGGTGCAGTTCAGTCACCATCACTAAACTTCCAGTCAGGGACAGCAAGACTAAAATTCCTGGGGACGCCCAGTTAGCAGAGGGAGTGCATTCCTCACTGGGCTGGCCATGCAATGGCCGGGAAGGAAGGGACGGTGAGACATGATTTTCTGCCTAGCTCCAAGGTGACCACCGGGGCCCTGGCCTGTGCAGGGGGCTACAGGAGGAGACAGAGCTAAACCAAGGCATCAGACCATATGCTTTACCAGAGCTGCCCACAACCCCATCCAGGATCCACTAACTACCATCTTTATAGAGGCAGCTCTCCTAAGCAGGCCCAACTGCAGGACAGAAGGGAAGACTGAGGCCCAAGCTGCGGAGGCTGGACCAGTGACAGAGAAGGAAGAACTAATAGCCCACCAAGCCCTGGACGTTGGCTCCAGCCTGTTCCTCTGCCAGCATTCCAGCTATGGGCAGCCAGTGAGTGGCCCAGCGCCCCACCACCTGCCTCATGGGTGCCCTTCACTGGCTGCCCCCAGCTGTGCAGATGCACAGACAAGATGAGGGGTGGAGAAGAGAGCTCTCACCTCTGACTTGAAAGAAGCCTCATCCTCTGAGTTGGACTCCTCCACCTCCAGGGCCTTCTTGGTCTCCCTGGACTCGCTCTCGGCCTTCATCTTCTCTCCTTTGGTACTGCTCTTATCCTTGGGCGGCTTCTTATCCGGGAAAGAGGAMGACGAGGTGCGGGGCGAGGTGCTGGGGGCACTCCGGGACCCCTTTGAGCTGCTCTTCTTCTGCTTTTTGGCACTGGGCTTTGGCGAGTCTGCGGCAGCCGGCCGCTTGCTGGAAGCCTTGGGCAGGACCGGGGGCTGGGGTGCCCCCTTGGGGGACATGCTCTCCAGCTTGGTCTCCTTCAGGGCCATCTTGGGCTCCTTGAATGCAGCCTTGGGAGGCGGGGCCTTCTCCTCCTTGGGCAGCCGGCCCTCACCCAGCTTCCGAGCAGCCTCCTTGGCGCCCTTGGCCTGCTCACGCTCCAGCTCCTTGGAAGAGCTCTTGCTCTCCGAGTCCTTGCGGGGTCGTTCTCTGTGCTCCTTGGTTACCTTATGTGTCTTGGGGGCCTTGCTGCTTTCTTTGTTGGCGTCCTGCAATGCCAAGAGCAGGGAGGGCACAGGGCAGAGACAGACATGGTCAGCCGGCATCTCGGGGCCACCCGGCTCCGCCACCCCCAACCCCTACAAAGTATGATCCACCTGATTGAGACTCAGCTAGAGAAAATCTTCCATAAAGCGAAAAAGTAAGGCAGCAGGTGAGTTTTTTAAATGGAGCTGTCCCTTTAAACTACTGGGAAGTGTCAGCAGGTCCCGGGCGACTGCAGGCTAAGATCCCTTGGAACTGAGCTGACTTCCCTGAGGGATTCAAGAAGAAGAGCACAGTGAGTCAGATGCAAGCAGGGCCACCTTGGCCGCCCCGCCAATGCCTRTAAGCTGCCCCTGGCCCAGGAGGTCCGAAGCTCGCCTGGCGCCAGAGGCTCCAGTGGCCTAGGGAGCAGGCCCTGCCCATCTTCTCTGGCCCGCAGGGCGCATCCTRAATGTTCCCTGTTGGTGGCTCTCGGCCTTCCTCCCGGGGCCCTGTGGGACCCTCTCCTGCAGGTCTCCCAATCCCCAACTCTCCAGCCTTGCTCCCGCCAGTCCTCAATGCATGCCCGGGGCAGAGCCATTTATCTGATTTAGGCTAAACACTTATTGAGCACCTGCTGGGTTCCTGGGTACTGCACAGAACAAACAGCATCCAGGTCTCTCAGAATTGAACTGCCTGAGCTGTTCTCCTGAAACAGGGAGGACGTTTCCAGATCTCTGCCTTGCTTCAATTCAAGCATTTAGGCAGGGGACTTGGATTTGGACAGACACTCTAGGGACAGAGGTGGAACACAGGCAAAGCTGCCCTGCCCAAGCCCCCAGGGAGCCTGGGCAGGATGTTACCTCTGTTATATCACAGGGCAAGGGCACAGGCCTGGTAAACAGGGAGCACTCTCAGTCAAGGGGGACACTATGGCCAGTGCCTGTGACTGACAGCATGGCCGATCACTAGGCTGAGCTCTTCGTATATATCTGTATTTTCCCCATGTTCCTTCCCCAACACAGCCAGTGGAGAAGGCAGAAGCCCCATCTTCCCTATCAACCCTCCATAATCACCCCATATGTCCCAGGATCTTGGATGGGTGCCTTTGTTGTGGGCTGATGCAGGCTCCAGCCCTCGGGTGGAAAGGTGCACGGTGGGCCCCMGAGTTCTCCAGATGAACACTTCTCATAGGTGAAGAGACCAACAGCAGMCAGACCTGAGGGCGGCCCACAGCACCCTTGGAGGCTCCCATGAGTCAGCCAAGAGCATCATGGAGGAGGGAGGTGGGCACACAGAGTAGACAGCTGGCCAGGTAAACACTCTGCCACCTGCTCTCAGAGCCACCTGTGCATCCAGGGACAGAGCTGCCTCCACATCTCTGATCTGTGCAGCGTGCTGTGTCTTCTTGCAAGTCCACAACCCAAACGATGTCAAAGGGTTAGAGACACATTTCCTGGAGAAGGGCAGGTCATGTGACTGGGTCCAGCTCTGACATCCCACGGTAGTGGGAAGGGATGCACATACCACAAGCTGCCAGAGCCAGCTGGGACCATGGGCACTCCCAAGGGGCATACCCCTTGGGGCTGGCACATGGAAGGGGACTCCAATACCCACAAGCTGCTAGGGAGGCAAAAAATAAAGGAAGGCACATAAAATCCCCGCCTCTTCTCAAAAAGAGTACACATGCCAGGCCATAGGAGCTGGGCCGGTGTGACAGAAGGAGAGCAAACCTCAGGAGCATGTTGATGGCATCTAAAGTGGCTCCCAGTATGTGCCACTAGGGCCTTCTGAGAGGGAAGAGCCTACACAGGTACCTGTGACCTTGGGTTCTCTGAATTCATGTTGGATTTTGAAAACATGTGAAGGTAGAGATGAAGATCATGTAGCCTCCTTCCCAAAGATGCCCATGACCTCAAAATGGTTAAAACTGACTTTTAGTGAAAGATCAACCAGGCAATTGCCTGACGCCCAATAAGGTACCATGGGAGCCCCTTTGTCTTCAGGTGAGCAGGTCTGGTGTCCAGGGCTCCTCCTAGTGTGAGCCCAGCAGGCAGTCCAAAGGGCTCTTCAGAGGCTCACTCCTGCCCACCTTGCCACCTGGGGGAGAGGAGGCAGTGGGACTACCAGAGACTGATTCAGCCCTAGGAGCAACAACAGGATCGCCAGCAGTACCCTGGCATGGGGGATTAAGGCCTAGGGCCCTTCAGCCTCAAGCACGCGGCCGGCCACCTGTCTCCCTAGGCCCAGGTAGCAGAGAACCAATGTGGGGGCAAATAGATGCCCAAATGAAGGGAGAGGCTTCTCATAGGCCTGTGCCTGTAAGGATGGCACACAGATGATGGTTCAGAAGCTGGGACCATGCTGGTAAAGCTGGGGCTTCTTGGAGAGCTGTCAATGGAGAAGAGCCCTGGTGGACCCTGTGCTGCACTGGAATACCACACAGAGGCTCTGAGAGGCAGAGGACAGAGCTAGAGTGCCTGCCTATTGCTCTGAGCCCAGCAGACATGCCCTTGGGCTGCAGGATCCCAGGGGTCCAGCAAGAGATGTGGCCCTGCCCTCTATCTGCAGCCATGCCAGCTACCAGTGTCCCTGCCACCTGGGAAGGCATTTCTTCATAGGGTTTTAGGTGGCCTTTGTAGCATCCATGCATAAGAAATAGCAACTTCTTCCCTTCCTAGTTGTCATGGACTTCCAAAGAATTGTGCAGTGTCTGGAAGAGAAGCTGCTGAGATCCCTAGTAGGGAATGGTCTGTCTGGGCCAGAGGGTGGAGAGGAGATTCCCCAGGGCCACATTCCACACTCAAGATGCTGACGAATCTGAGGATTTCCGAGACCTACTGGCCTTGTGGAAAGAGCCAGAGTGACCCTGTCTGGGTGGTGTCTGCCCCAGCAGTGCTCATAGGTAAGACGAGAAGACTTCCTAAGAGCTCTACTCATCCCACAGTGGTGCCCCAGGCTCACAGCACCCCACATTAAGTGAAGCAAGAAGAATGCCAAGAAGATAAGTGCACAGTGGAGTGGGTCAGATACATGCCAACCAGCAGCTGCCCTGAGAGCCACACGGAGCTTGGAAATCCCAAGAAGGCTGAGTGGAGCAGGTGGTCGCAGAGGAACACAATGCAGGCTCAAGGGTTTATATGCATTTATAAGCACATCACAATACCATTCAAAGCATTTTATAGCTTGTTCTTCAGGCAGCCTGAGTGCCACCTGCCCACCTGGGCCAAGATAAGATGATAGACATTTCTTCTTCAGAGGATTTCAGCTCAATCACCTACATCATGCCCCCACTGGCCACCCCCACGCAAGCTTTTCTCTGTGGCAAGCCGCTGCTGAGAAGCGAAGCCGGGAACAGCCGAGGGTGGGAACCTCACTCAGGAGACCGGAGAAGGTAGGCAGCCACAGCCTGCAATGGAAACTCTCTGTCCAACAATGGCCTTTGAACCGAGCAGTCATAAGGCCCAGCGCTGGCTCAACAGGGAAAGGAGGGTGCTAGGTAGGGCCTACAGCCTCAAGAGGAACAGGTGAAGGGCCCTTGATGACCTGCCCTATTCCTTGTGATCCTAGGGAAGCGGCAGTGAGCAGCAAGGTGGAGCAGAGAGCTCAAGGTGCAAGATGCCAGGGAGAGGCCAGGTGCACAAGGCCCAGCACGGCAGAGGGGTTGCCTGGCTGGGACCTGCCATGGCTGGGCCCAGTGCTCTCACGTGACTGGGCCTTCCACCTCACTAACCTTGGAGCCGTGGGATGGTTTGGTCTTCTTGGGGTCAGAGAAGGCAGAGAGTGGAATTGTGGGTAACATGGGGTAGTCAGGGCTGGGCCTGGACACCGTTTCTGCTCCTTCGGGCATTACCATCACCTAGTGACAAAGAAGAGACAGATGTTATCAATGAGCAAGGGGTGGTGGCAGCTGAAGGCCAAGGAGCTTGGTTTGTGGGGAGGGAAGAGGTGGAGCTAGAGCCACTTTCCCAAAAGAATTGTGGAAGGGCCGGGTGCCAAGGGGGGGGCTGGTGAAGCAGGCTCAGTGTGCAGAGCGAAGAGAAGCCTAGGATCCCAGGATGGCTGGGCCCAGCAGGGGTCACTCGGCCCCAAGCACGACGAACAGGAAGGCCAAGCCAAGAAGACTTGCAGAGTGTGCCAAGAAGCCCTGAAGGCGGCTGTGGCCAAAGCCGAGGCTAAGCACTGAGATTCAGAGCCCACAGGCACAGCCAGGAGAGGGAGAAGCCAGGTGGACACCAGGGCAAATGGCCCTACAGCAGTGAGCAGCTTCTGAGGAATCTGCCGGATGCGATGTYAGCAGGTCACACATGTCCTAAGGGGTGAGTCTTCCTCCCACCACCTGCAGCAACTGAAGCTGACTTAATCAGAGCCTGTGGCCGCAGGGGTCTACAAAGCTGCCCCATACACAGCTGGGAGGAGGGAAGTGCCATCCTGCCCTTGCTTAGAAGGCTACAGAAGAGGAAGGGCTCAGGTCTTTCCAGGAAAGTTGCTACCTGCCCGGCAGCAACTAGGACATCTGCTGCAGGGCCAGAGTGCTTGGGAAGGTCTCCAACACCAACACTACAGGTTTACACGGCGACGGGGCCAGCCACTCAGAGAAAGCCTTCTAGATGGCAGCAAGATGGAACAAAATAAAAGGCACTTTTTAAAAGGCCTTAATTCAAAAGCACCACTAACAAGCTTGAGCACCTGGGATTCCTTACGAGCCAACCCTTTCATCTGCAGACACCACGGGACACTGGGCTCAGAGAGGGCAGTAGAGCCTTGGGGCTGTCTCTCCTGTGAGCTGCTCATCAGAGCCCCCTGCCCACAACACTTAGGCATGCCGCCAAGGACASATCTGTCCCCAGCCGTGCCCTACCAGCCCAGTTCCCTGAAAGCATGCCACATAGGATCCTCTGTGCCTTGGCTGGCAGCTCCACACATGCACAGCTTCACAGAGGACAGAAGCCCGCCCCAATCACAGATGGCTCCTGGAGCTTTGGCTGGTGCACTCCCAGACCTTTTTCCTTCTACTCCTGTGGGAATTCACCTTCCCTCCCTTCAAGTTAACTAGACCAAACCCTCCAAGGAGAGCATTCTCTGCCCTCCATGTGTCTCTTTGCTAACCAAGATCCTAAGAACAAAGGAGAGAGGAGCGTGGCTCAGCRGGCTCTGCTATTTCCTCCACAGGGTGCTGCTGCGAGTTCCTGGCTCCCTGACAGAAACACAGGCCCTTGGCCAATGGGCAGAAGACAGGAGACAGCTCTAGGGGTATGGGGCTGGCTCTGACTTGCTAGGCAGTGGGAAGCCCTGTTCCAGTTGCTCCCAAGGATAGCCTGAGTTCCAGATCACCAAGTGAGACTTGGTGAAGACGGAATACAGACGGCAGCTTGGCTCCTTCCTCCAGCTCTCCCAGCACCAGCAGCTGCACAGACAGGGCTGGGGCCATTGCTGTGGGGTGGCAAACACTGTCCCTGAGGACACTAAGGAGACTGGAAGGCCTAGCACAGGGGCACAGTTACCTGGTCCTGGAAATCACCTGGGAGGGCCACCATCCCATAACCAGGCTGCTCCTAAGGCTAGAAAGCGCTGCTCAGCTGTCAGCCCAGGAAGACCAGGAAGTTCCAGACTGGCCAGCCAGCTCCCCTGGGCAGCCCTCTCCAAGAAACAGCACCTGGCGGAGACCACTATGTGGACCCTGGCCCAAGTGCCTCTCTGGGTCCAGCAGGTGCCTTGGGCCACTTGCTGTATCCAGAATGGCCCTTGGCAGACTGAGCCAGACCTCCTCTCCCCTGCTGGCTCACCTGCTCCTCCCCRCCCTGTTTTATGTGTTGAGGTGATGCCCTCAGAGTCTCCACTCTTCAGAGCACAGGAAATGCCTCTTGTAGAGGCAAAGAGGCCTAGGCACGCTGACTACTTCCCAAAGAAATGTGACTATGGGCCTTCAGGGGACGCCCACAAATGCATTGTGGAAATACTGTGGAAAATACACAGCCACAAAAAGGTGGTGGACAGCAGAGTGGGGAGGTCTCTGGGACCAGCCCTCCCCACACCTGGTCCCCCTCTGCATAAGCCCTCCTGTATCCTACAGCCTCCCCAGGCTCTCCCAGCCCTTGCCAGCCAGAGCAAAAACACAAGCAAAGCTGTTACTAGGAACACAGTCTTACTAGAAGACTCAGGACTTCCTCAGCCTTCCTTAGCATTACTTTTATTTAAGAAGAAAAAGTTCCTAAAGACCCAATTGTATAGAACAAGAAGGCAGGAGTTATGCCCAAGCCCAAAGACACACACACACCAGCCCACAGCCACTTGGAAGTGAGCCTGCCCAACACCACATGCACACCCTACACTCTTCACCACACACACACACACAAACACACACACACAAACACACACACACAAACCATGGGTACCCCACACAAACCCCCCCACACACACACATCCTGTAAAAATACCATCAGAACACACCTAAGCAGGCACACACCACACCACATATATTCTATACAAACATACCATCAACACACCAGACATACTTCCCAACACATGCACACACATGTGTGGCCCAACCATAGCGTGGAAACAGGGTGGCTGGCATCTCAGCATGCTTGGTGACCCTGGATCACCAAAAATGGCTTCGATGTCCCATGACCAAGCCTCAGCCTACACTGGCCTCCACAGATGGGGCAGCCAGCAGCCACGTGGCCTGTCCTCCTCATCGGCCATCAGCACCCTATGCCCTGCTCATCTCCAAAGCCTGTGGAGGCACCTGGAGGACTGTGCTCAGGCCACCACGTGGAATTCCAAGGCAGGCAGTGCGCACTGACAGAGTGCCTCCCGAATGGCCTGGTGCCCAGCAACAGCCCCGCTCCATCAGCTAAAGGGTGGCACAGGCCTGGCCACGCGGACAGACCGGCCTTGCACCCAGCTTCACACCACATGCAGGAAGATGCCAATTACCCACAGCCACCGAGGAGACGCCGGGAGAGCCGGTGTCTCAACTCTTCATCCACAGCTGCCAACGCCCAGCACTGGCTAGGGAGCCCCCGGGGCCGTATAGCTCGGCCAGGCAACAGCTGTGTGACGAGTACTCACACAGCCCAGCCCAGGAGCCAGCAGAGCACCCTGGGCAGGCACGGCAGCTACTGGGCCAGACAGGTGGCCCGCAGCAGGTCACACTCACCCCGCCAGCCATCAGGAGCTTGTACCGGAACTCGGTGGTGGGGTTGTTGAAGGTGAGCTTCTCGCAGCGCAGGTGGTTCACAGGTGGGTTGCCCTCCAGGTTCAGGAACAGGTCGTAGGTGAAGCACACCTTCCTCGGCTCCTCCTTGAACAAAGGAAACAAGGAAGTCCGTGTGAGGGGCGGGTGGCAGGCTGTGGCTGCAGGACAGGGACGGCTGCCAGCTGCCAGCCCTGCTTGCTCCTTCATCCAGTTCTGTTTGTCTTGCCCCCAGATCCTCCTCTGCTGCTTCTCCTCTTCCATCACTCAAATAAGCTAACTTACCACTCAGTGGACAGAGCAAAGGAGGCCTCAGGAAAYAACAGTCATCAGTCACAGTGTTCCCTGGCACTTACAAGAAATGCTGCTGCTGCAWGCAGCCTCACGAGAACACGCTCCCTTCAGCCTCTCTGTGTGGCTGGTAAATGGGGAAACTGAGATTCAAAAACACACAGCTTGCCAGGGGCAGTGCTGAGGCCTGACCCTAGCCAGGAAGGAGCCCAAGACAGGCTACAGCCCAGAGCAACTGGTGGGCACAGGTTAGTAAAGAGGACTATGAGAACTGTCTGGGTTCCAGGAGGCTTTGTCCCACACCACCCTGCACTGGCCACCCAAAAGGATGAGAACATGATTCTGGCATCACACCCAGCATGGAATAGTACCCAGCGTGAAGCAGGCTCAACAGACTTGTGAGTGAAGAGTTCACGAGAGGGATCCATGAAGAAGGGACAGACCGAGGGATCTGATGCCAACAAAGAAAGATCAGGGGGTTCCTGGGAAGGAAGCTCTTTCAGTAGCCCTGGCGCAGCCTGGGGATCACTTTTCCCCAAACCATGACAGAACAAGTCATTTTCCTGCTCTTTTTCTCAAGTCCCACTCCACCCCATCCCAAATTACAAAACCCTAAGGTCCCACAAAACCTAGATCTGTCCCTGCTGCAAAGACATCTGACTGGTTAGAAAAATGGGTGACTGGGGAGTGTGGGAAAAGCTGTGAGGTCAGGTGGGGAATCCCTTTACCAGCCACCCCTCAGCATCCATGCAGGATCAGCTCCAGCACCAGCACGAAAACCAGAGTCCATGGAGGTTCAAGCCCCTCATAAAAGATGGTCCAGTGACGGCATGGAATCTACGCACACCCTCCCCTATGCTTTACATCCTCTCTAGGTGACTTCTGCTACCCAATGCATGCCATGTAAAATTATGTGAAATAGATGCTACACTATATTGTTTAGGAATAATAACAAGGAAAAAAGTCTGTACACGTTCACTACAGACCCAAGTTTTATTTTTTTCTGAGTATTCCCAGGTCTGTAGATGCAAAATCTGCAGGTGCAGAACCCAAGGATTCAGAACCTGCAGATATGGAAGGGTGAGCGATGGGTATGCCTGTACTGTGAACAAGGGTGCCAAGGAACACTTCAACAGGGACAAAACAGTCTCTTCAACAAATGGTGCTCATATCATCACTGTGTATCCACAAGCAAAAGTATGAAACTGGATCCTTATCTCACAGCATATATAAAAAAATAACTAAAAAATGGACCAGAGCCCTAAATCTAAGAGCTAAAACTCTCAAAAGGAAAACAGGGTACAAACAATGACGCTGCATAAGGCAATTTTTCTTACATATGACACCAAAAGCACAGGCAACAAACAATAAAAAAGAGAAATTAAAGTTGATCAAAATTAAAAATTTTGTGTTACAAAGGACACTACTCAAGAGGATGAAAAGAACCCACAGCCGGGCATGGTGGCACACACCTGTAATCCTAGCAACTTGAGAGGCTGAAGCAGGGGGATCACAAGTTTGAGACAAGTCTCAGCAACTCAGTGAAACCCTAAGCAACTTATCGAGGCCCTATTTCAAAATAAGACGTGACTCAGTGGTAAAGCACCCCTGAGCTAAATCCCCAGCATATACACAAAAAAAGGGAACCAAGAGAATGGAAGAACATATTTGTAAATCATTAATCTGATAAGGGCTCACTGTTCAGAATATGTAAAAAAAAATGAATCTTACAACTCAACAATAAGAAGACAACACAGTTTAAAAATGGACAAAGAATGTGAACAGATATTTCTCCAAAGATACACAAATGGCCAATGAGCCCATGAAAAGAAGTACATCAGGAATCATTAGCAAAATGCAAATCAAAACACAATGAAATACTACTTCATACCCACTAGGACAGCTAAAACACACGACACCAGGAAAAACGAGTGCACTGCTGGTGGGAATGTGAAATGGTGCTGCCACTTTGGATAAACGGTCTGGCAGGTCCTCAAATGCCAAGTATGAAGTAATCAGGGACCCAGACCATCTAGGTAYACAAGCTAGAGAAATGAAAACAGTGTAGTCACACAAACACGTGCACACTTATGTCCACAGCAGCAACACTCACCCTACACCAAAAAAGAAATGACCCAAATGGCCATCAAAAAAGATGAAAGGATGAACTGTGGTTCCTTCACACCAGGGGGCATTTTCAGCCTTAAAAGAGAACCAAGCACCACATGCATGTGCCTTGAAAACCGTGTGCCTAGGAAAGAAGCCAGCCACAGGAGAGCACACAGACTGACTCCGTTTACATGACGCGTCTAGCGTAAGCAAGTCTAGCAAGACAGAGGGCATCATGGTTGCCAGAGGCTCAGGGAGCAGGCACATAGGAAATGAATGCTAATGAGGACCAGATTTCCTTTTGGGGTGACAGAAATACTCTGGAATTTTAAAACTGCGATGRTTACACACCGTGAATATATTAAACTCAAAGAGTGTAGACACTTTAAAGGAATTATTTTTCTATGAGGCATGAGCTTCATCCCAGTCTATTAAAATATTGTACAACACAGAGAAAAATTTCTGGGCACAGGAGAAGAATGTTGCGTTCAGGAAGTCCAAGGAGACTTTCCGGCTGCTCAGCTGAAGGCAAACTCATCCCAGCAGCTTCTGGGTCCTTCTTCCATTCAGCCTCTTCCTCTGGCAGCCCAAGCTCACAGGCTCAACCACTTTCTTATGTTGGTGAAAGAGAAGGGGACAGAGACAGGAGCTTTGGCTGCAACCTGGCTGAGTCTCCTAGGCCACTCAGTGGTTCACAGTTCATGTACACTCTAGCTCTGCAAGCCCTGGGACCAGCAATGCCTGAGTTAGGACTAACTGGCAATGTGCCCATTTCAACCAAGAGGGGAACTGCAGATGACACCATCCTAATGGATGGAAGATAAAAGGAGCTTCCAGGAGCAGTGGGTACAGTGAAGGGGCAGACAAGTGAATGGGCTTTCTCAAGATGACGCTGAGTGAGGCTGACTCTAGCCTGGTCTGGGAAGAGTGGGTTTCAACCCAGCCCAGTCCACACCAGACTTGGAAATGTCCTTCCAAGGACATTTTGGGGTAAGGTAACAGAAGGAAGTTGGCCTAGGAAGGCCCAAAACCAAAACAAAATCACAAGGTTTCTCACTATCTCCCCTCCTGCTGGAATGCAAAAGGGSAGGCAGAGGTGTGGCAGTCTCCACAGGGATGTTGCTGGAGAACCTCAGGCAGGTGAGCACTGGCACCTCCCAACCTCTGGCCCCACAAGAAAACCAGCTGCTGGTTAAGCCCAACACGCACTTGCCATGGGGAGCTGGCTGTGACCCTAGCTAAGAAACCAGAAAGTCACCAAGTCCTTCCTTCCTCTACAAAGGTGGGCAGTACTTTCCCGCCATWTAGGAACCTCTCCTCTATTCCCTCCAGGCGTCCAGCGATGGCACTCCACAATAACCAAATGGATGGCACACTGGGAAGCGTATGAAGGGCATGAGGGCTCTTTGGAAGCTTGGACAGGCTTGGAAGAGGGCTGGCATTGGCAAGATCACCAAGAGCAAGACAAGAAGGGAGAAGCTCCTCGACAGACCAGCAAGGAGTATGCAGGGCCTAATGAAGAAAACAGTGTCACAGGCCACAGAACCCTGATCAGGACCCTAAGAGTCGAATATGGTTGGGGCTGAAAGGGGAAGATGAAGGAGGCAGCAGCAGTATCCCCTGGAGGGAAGGACCTCGGCTCTCTGCAGAGAGGGAGCCTGTCCCCAGAGGAGCGAGGGCATGAGCTCAGGAAGGACAGTCAGCATCATGTCTTGGAAGTCACACTCTCTGGCCTATGTGCCAAGGACAGGTTATAGGACATCAGTGCCAGGCCAGGGGCTGGCATGACTCCGACATGCCAGAGTGTGTGTGGCAGCCAGCACTCATCCCACCTTTCCCAGAAAGAACAGCACCAGGTAGACAGAGAGAAGACCAGGCGGTGGAGGCAAGGGAGGCGAGCCATGCGGGTATGTTCCAGCAAAGGAAGGGACAGGGAGGGAAGTGGGAGAGCACGGTCCCCGCTGCTGGGCCACTCCTGAGTGAGCAACCAGGGTCTGACTGCCCACTTGGCCAGTTTCACAGAGCGCCAGGTGGTCTCTGCCCATGGGAAGATGATGTCCCCAGTCTGGGGACCCAGCAGGCAGCACAGCTGAATACCCCCAGGTTGCAGAGTCAGCAACAGCCAGACAGTGCCAAACTCTTCTGAACAAGGGACCCAGTTTCTTCAGCCAAGTAACTGCAAAGGGAAAGAATGGAGGGAGGAAGGAGTAGGGGTAAATGTACACATTAAAAGGGTTCTAAGATCACAATGTGGAGTCCTACTGAGATCCTGAACCCAAATGGAAAGAAGCAAACATTTTAAACACTGACTTATTAAGGGATCAAGGAATTGTTAATGATAAACTAAACTAATTAATAACAATTAAAGAAGGGTTTAAGTGCTCCCTACTAGACCGTGCACCATCAGTAGCAGGCTGGCTCTGCTGTGTCCCTGACACCTAGCCTGAGCTAGCTCTCACATCTGATGAACACTCAACCCACATCCATCCAAACATGTCATGGGCTACGGCAGTGTCCTCAGAAATGATGGGGCCTAAGGAGGCAAGGTGTCTCTTCTGTGAGTCAGAGTGGGAGGGTGGAGGTCTGCCAGGACATTGTCCACCTTGGTCAGGTAATGATGGTGGAGACTCCACTGTGGCTTCTGAGCACGTAATGTATGCAAACACTTCCACACGCAGGTGTCCTACTGTCACTATTCCACAGATGAA